CTCTGTAAACACCCCCACGAGCACACCTGTACAATGTGCGCACAAATACCACACACACACACACACACACACACACACACACACAAATAAATCAATGCCATTTACACACTTGTTGATTAACTGCATGTGGTGTTACGTGTGTGCAAGTGCGTGCATGCCAGAGCTCCGATGTGAAAGTCAGAGGACAACTTTTCTGAGTTGGGTCTCTCCTCCCACTATGTGTCTGTATGGTACAGACTCAGGTCTTATTCTTTACAGCAACAGCCTTTACCTGCTGAGTTATCTGGCTGGCCTATGACACTGTTTATTAGGCAAATGGCATCTGCCATCATGTGGTGGGCTGGAGGGAGATGGAGAACTCCCAGGCCACACTAGCTACTCCAATGCGCACGTAGAACTGTCTCTCCCAGCTGCTTCTGAAGGCAGCTTTCTCACTCTTGAATTATGGAGGTGTGTGAATGTCCAAGATTTAGCTGTCACCCAGATTTTTCGGCCATGCTTACCACCCAGAGGGGCCTGGAAGCATGGTCACCCTTTAACGGCATCTGCTGTCTGTAGTCCTTGGCTCCATATTCATCCACTTTGGTGCCGGACTCGTCCACCTGTTTCCCCGCGGCTGAGGGCACCGCCTCCTGAGAGTCGTTCCCAGGGGCGTCGTCTTCGTCGTCTTCTTCCTCTTCATACTGCCTCTTCTTGGACTTCTTCTTGTCTGCAACAAGACAAAGAAGTGAGGCCAGTAGGATTCTAGGGTTCCCTCCGCACTACACTGAGGAACTTCTATCAGAACTCCTAAACCAGCGCCACCTGCATCCCGGCGTCCCACAAACCCCTCCACCCGACTCGGCTCCGCGCCTCCCAGACCAACAAGTCGGAGAACACCCTGCAGCAATGACTGCTACACGGGGTCCTTACCGCGGTCCGCTCGATCTCTTTTGCCCATAACAGCTTTAGGGCCGGGCAGCCACCGCACAGTACACTGAGTCAACTCCGCAGGAGGCACTCTCAGGGGAACTTCCGGTTCGTGCTGGAAGTACAGCCCCAGACTACCGGAAGTCCCGCCTCTAAATCCTTAGACCGGAAATGCGGAGCCACACAGCCTACAGCCGACTGGCGTAGGTTCCGCCGGCGTAGGATGTTTTGAGCCGTAAGTAGTTGTTCGGAGCCTTGAGCTTACTTACCCTGTAGAACAGGCTGGCCCAGAACTCAAGAGATCTGCTTGTGAATGCTGGGATTCATTCCCTTTGCCCTGCCTTCGCTCTGGTTTTTGCTGACGCTGCTGCTTAAACCGCTAAGGTCTGTCTGGGAAACTTCCTGGGTGGTTCCGTGAGCTGAGGTTATAGGCGTGTTTCACCACACCTGGTTTCTGGAAAATAAATTCCAAACTCAATTTAGAAGGGTCCTGGCTTGGGGTTTGTGGCCCAATTGTTAGAATTTTTGCCTATATCAGAAACCAAGGAATAATCTTGGTAGCTCACCAAGCATGAACAATAACTCGGCAAGACAATTCTTTTTGGAGAAGAGTGCACCAGAACCCAAAGGGACTAACAAGTACATCAGAACAGGCAGCTCGTGTAGTTTTTAATTTGGTGTCAGTGTCTTTTCTCTGTTGGCTGGGGTCAGACCTCACAGCCATTTGGTGGTTTGTTGTTTTCGAAGACAGTTTCTCTGTTTAACCCTGGCTGTCCAGGAACACACGCCGGAGAGCAGGCTCGCCTCGAACTCGAGATCTGCGTGCCTCTTCCTCCTGAGTGCTGGGACTACAGGCCTGCACCACCAAGCCCTACCCCACAGTTGTGCAGTTTTAAAAGAAGGCAAAGGAAATGGAAGGAAAGAGGGAAAGGGTCGGGTCAGCTTTTTTGAGCCATCAAATTCTGGTCAGCTGCCTGCTTGTGGGTGTTAAGTGTGTGTGCGTGCGTGTGTGTGATGTAGGCCACAGGTGCTCACAGTTTTCCCCCCTCACATCTAGCGGGTTCCAGCCCCATTAACCAAATGACTGCTCATGACTGCAGTCCCATCACCTGGAAGGTGGAGGAGACAAGACAGAATGTTACACGTTTTCAAAAAACAGTAGTAGAGTGGTCCTAGAGTAGCTCTAAGTATGCCATATATATGAAAATGGTATGATGATGGTATCTTTTATGCTAGCAAAAAAAGAAGCAATATGAAATTGGCTTTTTGTTTAAAGAGCTGGGAAGATAACTTAGTAGATAAAAGTACTTGCTGCACAACCGTGAAGACTCCATTTTGGATCCCCCAGAACCCACATAATCGAGGCAGACAGGATATTAAATAGCTGTGACCCCAGCACTGAGGGCAGAGGAGAATACTTGGGGCTCACTGGCCAGCCAGTCTAATACATGAGCTCTAGACTTTGAGAGAAATCCTGTTGCAAAATAAATAAGGTGAAGTGGGGCTGGGGAGATGGATCAGTGAAAAAGCACTTGCCACAAAGGTGAAAGGATCGGAGTTAATCTTACAAAAGCCAAGGGGTGGAAGTCTTGCGGGGGTGGGGGAATGTCACTGAAGAGATAGCTCGGTGCCTAAGTGCAGAGGAATTTAAATTCAGAACATGGCTGCTCTTGTCAAGAGATCACATCCAAAGATCTACATCTGTGTGATCTGGCTGGAATACAAACACACCTCTAATCCAGGAGACAGAGGTAAGCATATCTGAGTTCAAGGCCAGCCTGGTATAGAGCAAGTATAAGGTAAAGAAAAACTTAGGTTCAGGTGTAGTGGTACATGCCTTTAATCCCAAAAAATGAAAGTAAAGATAGTTTGTAGAAGGAAGCACCATGTTTGAAAGTGATGTCTAACTAGGAGGCAGAAAAAGTGATGAATTAGAGAAAGATTTGACAGAATAGGATATGCCCAATTCTCACAAGAAGAGAGAGGAAAGGAAAGCTTCTTAAGAGGCAATGCAGTGAGGAGGCAGTTTTACCAGGAGAGTTTCACAGAAACAGGTGAAGACAGAATGAGCCAGAGGCTTAGAAAATATTGCTGGAGTTAGTTTGAGGCCAAGCAGCGCAATTCAGAAACCGACAAGCCAGACTGAACAAGTCAACTGGGAGAGGAGTTTGAACTATAACTGCTGAGGTGAACCAGCCAGCCCAGAACTCAATAAGAACTAGAAAGGGTGAGCATAATAAGTAGTAAGTCTCAGAGGCTGAAAACATTCTAGGCCTAAGTTAAATTGTATAGAGGCTAGAAGCTTCCAGGATTAGGCCTAGGTTAGCAGATGGAGTTAGTAAACCTCTGAGATTAACAGTTGAAACAGGCTAATAAAAGTTACTATTACAGCTAAGAGTACTTGTTGCTCTTACAGGAGTCTGAGGTTGCTAGGCTTCCCAACACCCACATGGTACCTCACAGCCATCCCTAAATCCAGTTCTGAGATCCAAGGCTTTCTTCTGACCTCTGTAGGCACCAGTCACACATGGGGTGGACATGTATGCACTCATACACATAAATCTAAAAACAAAATAATAACAGGTAGGCTGCTTAACCGGCTTCTAATCCCAATATATGGAAAGCAGAGGCCTGGAGCAAGCCAACTCAGTGGGTTCTGAATTCAAATGAGGGACTCTGCCTCATTATCAGTGGAGAGCAAATGGAACGACACTTGCACACACACCAAAATAAATGAAGAAGATGGTAAAATACACCTGACATCAACCTCTTGTATCAGTGGGTGTACACAAATACAAAGCAAGCATGAGGGAGTGAGAGTCAGCTGGCGGACTGTGGACTCGTTTCCCTTTGTTTATTCTGCTCCTGAGTCTACACTGAACAACTGTCTAGAGTCTATCAGAACCATCTTCATAGTGGCCCCTTTCCTTCTTTGTGCCTCTGCTGTGTGTGTCAGGTGCTTCTGCTGATAACACCCAGCTTTGCATTCTATGGGCTAGACAGTTCTCGCCCTCTGGACACTTCCCGGATCATACCTCCTAGCCTACATGTTTTAGCTAGAGATGGAGGGGCGGTGTGGAAGTTATCCTGCATTCATTGAGAGTGGAAGGAAGCATAGCCCTGAGATCAGTCCAGAGGGAGCACCTGCCTTCACTTTCAAAGCCTCTAGAGTATTATTAATCATACTACTGGACAGCTATCAAAACTGTAGGGTTACTGTCAGTTGAGATCTGCTGTCAGGTCACCAAGGACGAAGCTCTCTCTCCCTTTGCATTTCACCAACTCCATGACCAGCACCTGCACTGTCATTTTATCAGTATCCAGCCACAGTGCCCACCGAAGCAACCACACTGGGCCTTCCCTTATCCAGGGACTGTGCAAAGCAAGTGGCCCCTAGCGAAACCCAGGTTTTAACAATGGATTCCCTCTACAAGATAGTATCTGAAGTCATACAGTGTGACAAAATGGGAATTCTCTCCTCTGCTGGTTCATCTGCCAGAGGAATCAGTCTCATCAAAGCCCAAAACTAGATTGAGGCTCCTGACGCCTGTGTTTTTAAGTAGCATCTGAATCCCCTTGCCCCATCAGGACACTGCATAGCTAAGGCTGTCCCCTGGTTGTTTTTGTCATAATGTCTGCTTTGGCTCTTTTGTATCCTTTGTAGATTTGCAAGGCTTTTCCTCTACTTCTTTCCTTGGAATAAAGTATTTTTGTAATTCTGAATCTCTTTGACTGGATGCCTTCGACTGGTTTTGTTTTAATTTCTTAGTATGCACATAAATGAGGTCAAAGGACATCTTCAGGGTGGTTCTCTCCCGCCACCATGGGTTCTGAGGATTGGATTCAAGTTTCCATGCTTTTGTGGCAAGCACTTTACCCACTGAGCCATCTCCCCAGCCTGGTGGTTGTTTTTAATCACTACATTCAATCTGAGCTGTCGTCATGTTCACACAAAGATCTATGAAAGAGGTTTTATGGACATCACAGGCTTAGACACAAAAATTTCTAGGTAACTGTGTTCCAAAGAGCAAGCAAACAAGAGGAGACTTTGGTAAATACACTATGTCCAAGAACATATCTATACACACAAATCACAGTGGGAATAAATACCAGCTTTATTAACACTCAAAGTGCCATTCATTATGCCCATTCCATAGTCCAGAAGGTTACTGAGAGTAAGCACCTCTGAAACACAATCAGTCCAAAGATGAACAGGAAAGAAAAAGTGTGTCTCACTGTCCTCAATACCGCAGGCCTTCATGCATGACAAATCTAAGAAAGATGTGTCTGTAATTCACAAATTGCCATATAAACAGTCATTATCACTAACAAAATATAAACATGGTTTCTTTTATATTAAAAACTTTAAAAGCTATTTACCAGCAAGAAAAAAATACATAGAAATTATAAAACTGAAGAAATTTTACACATTTGTACAAGCACAATTTTGAATGAACAACAAACCCAAATTTGTGTGAAATGTAGTACCTACTGCACTGTGTCCGGCTTCTGGTAGGTCCTAATCACATGGACTCCTTTCAACATAATAAGCTTAGTGACAGTCAAAGTTCAACTGTAGACTTTATTCCTAACACAACTTTACAATACCACATACGTTTGGCAGGATCCCATTGAATACAGTAACACTGTCAGATTGAAAACCTAATTTCCAACTCTGCCAGTTGCTTAAAACAGAGTATATAAATACACCGTGTATTTGGCACACTGTGTATTTGGAGATTCCTAACACAATGGTAGTCAACTGTGAAGAGTCACAATAAGCAATGCATTGTTTCATAAACTTGGTATAACTTTGCTCAGTAAGAGAAAAATTAAAACTTGAAAACTTTGGAAATAAGGGATATATTAAAAAACAACAGTTGGTCAGGTCTAAAGTAACTAGAGATATAAGTCTCGAGATGTCTTCAAGACAATTTAGTTTCTCACATTTTTTTAAAGAACTCTGAGGTCAAAGGCCATGTTAGTGGACAATGTGTTTTGCTACTGCTTAACAATCTCCCCCCACCTCCAAAAAAGGCTGTTAGTTGTTGTTAGAATTTTAACTGAACTCTAAGCAAAATCTGTATCCAACTCTGGAACTACAAATGCTTAAATGGTTAAAACCAAAATGTAAAAAATAATTTTGACCAGCCAGCTGAAAATATAGTGCATATATATTTACACATATATAGTAAATAATCTTTCAGAAAGCTTTTACATATATTTATCATAAAGTTCTTAAAACTGTGGAAATGAAATGAAAATAAGAATTTACTAAGATATATACATGTGTCTACACACAGAAAGGTCATCTCCATACAAACACGTATCTCTTGATACACACAGAATACTTTCAACCTAGGAATTGTTTCAGAATACAGGATAAAATTAGAATACAACACTGAACTCCTGAGTTCCTCAACAAAGACAGGAACACACACAGGTGACTTTGCAAAAGCAAGAAGGTCATCCCACTAACTGTCATAGCAGCGCAGAAACTGAGGGCTACATCTGGGAAGAAGTGCAAACACAGAGACAGTAGTTCAATGCACGCACTCACAATTCTCAGACACTCAATAATTATTGGTCATAGAAATCAGTGTACAAATTAAAGTTTGAAAAATGTGCAAAAAAGTCAACATTGATAGAAAACAAAAATATTTGTACATAATTATAAACTTCTCAATATTCAACTGAGATTAAAAACATTTGCTGAAAATAATACATTAAATATAGAAAATTTAATGGATACACTTTAAATGTACATTAAGTCAAAGGGTAAATTTACAAATTGATAATCATAGTTTGCAAGATAAAAGTTTATTTTCAAATTTATCCAAGTTTATTTACAATGAGTAAAAACAACCACATGAAATATAAGAGATGTCAGACATTAAAAGTATTTTTTGGTATTAACTTTGTTAGGATAGTTCAGAATGCAGGCTAAAATTTAAAACCAACAGCAATAGAAGAAGTGTAAACGTTTTACTTACTAATTATTTAAAAAAAAAAAAAAAACACCATTTGTCTTTAAGGAAGTATTCTCATCCCTAGACAATATGGTTTCAACTCACAAGGGTTTGGCCCACTTCCTTTTGCCCATAAGCCTTTCTGGCTTGTAGCTTCCCATTAGTCTACTCTCCTTACTGTACGTTTGGAAAAAAAGTCTTTGGGAATCTGAGAACATGTCATATATTTTCTGGAGTCAAAGCATCTAATAGCATTTAACATCTAATTACTTATCTTCTGTTCTAAGTTATGCTAATGCTAAAACCACAGATTACACAGGGTTTTTTTTTTTTTTTTTAAGAACTAAAACATACAAATAAATGAACACAAAGTGCTTTTCAGAATAGTCAAACTTTTCTCAGCTGGCATTATAAGATTCAGAAATCCTTAGTTGGGGGCAAATTCTCTAAGTTTTAAAGTATAGAGAGCAGATGCTTCTGTGTATTCCAAAATGTCTATGGCACAAAGCAGACCAGTTCATAACCTACTCTTCTTCACAGCATTGTTGCAATGTCCTGTAAGTCAAACACAAGCTCATAAACATTAAGACACTAGAAAGAAAATAAGCCACCAACCTGAGGCATCAGATAGCAACACGAATCTACACACCATCAGTGGTCAAATGACATTCATGAATAAGATTGGCACGCATACAAACTTAGGTCTGCAGCGTCTATAGCTCCACAATGGTTTAATTAAACTCTGCGTGTCTAATGCACGCACTGAGCACCTGTTCTTTTCCTTGAAGGATAGACAGATTGGCATACAAATACTACTAGCATCTGCTCTATCATTTATATACTATTAGCTTACATATGGGCAGATTTATCAGGGCTAATCATTTTGGCTGTATGTTCAGGGAATACAAAAGCTTTGGTTTAAAGTGATTCTGGTAATACAGACTGAAATACAAACAAACATCATCAAGCAGGACAGGAGTATTCTCTTGTCTAATGTCTTTGCTGTTAGGAACACCATACCTTATGACTGTCTATTAAAACACACAAACACAAAAAAACATGAATAATGAGACTGTATACAGGCAATGGATACAATTTATTTTTTCTTTACTACAGCTATGACTCCTCCCTTGCCTTCCTGAAGCTCAATCTTGACCACCTTTAGTACCTCTGAGAAAAGAAATGTCTGGGTTGCCCTGAAAGCTTATCTCCAGCTCTCAAAGTGAGAATGGGGAGGATGATCCTGGTATTTCCTAAGCTCTTATGGCATCCTGTCCAGACAGGGAGTAAAAGCAGCACTGAAGATGACTATGAAGTAGGAACAGTGGCATCACAGCATGCCTTCCCTAGCTAACCAAAAAGAGGTATATTTCCTTTCAACGACTTGGTAAACTAAGGAAGCTTGTTTAGATAATGTCTCGCAGAATTTCTATTCTAAAAATTTCATAAAGAAATACCCAAGATCGAATACTTCCTATTTATGAATTATATATAAGCTAATTATTATACATACAAACAGACAAATTGAATTTTAATCTACTTTTAGCAACTAGGGACTTGGCAATTTACAATAAATACCCTTATTAAACAATCATTTGTACTAGCTACTTAGGGAAAATGTACTGGCATGCCTACTTGAGGATGTTTCTTGTCATCCTACGTTAGTAGATCATACATTTTTCAGTTGTTCTTCCAAGAACAGAGACAGATCTAACTGAACAACCATACCTTCCTACCCTGCCCCAACTCCAAACACACACACACACACACACACACGTACACACACGTACACACACAGCATGCACTTCACAAAACAGTAAACTAGAATATTAGTCACATGTTAAACACCAAGGATTAGAATCTGCTGTCCCTGGATTCCTTGCTCATCGCCTCCATCTTTGTAAAATACTTAAACAAGCTCTTCTGGGCAGAATAACTAGCCTAGCTCTATAAAAATCACAACCAAAAAATAAAACACAAAGAACTTGGACAGTGCCAATATGACTGAAAATCAAGTAATCAACCCCAAAATCAATTTACTATGTATTTTAGAATGAGAATACCTTTCTATATTTATTTTAGGAATGATATCTAATAGAGATTACAGTCAGATAAACGTTACTGTTTCTCTTCTAACATTTTTTAAAAGGAGGTAGAAAGAGTAGGAGGAGGAAATATGCACTAAGAAACACATAGGGTCCAACACACAGACTAAGGCCAAATAAACTCGATGCCTAGTGATTTTGGAAAAACTCTTCATTTTGTTAGGTAATTTGAATTACAAATATAAAATAAAATTAAGGCATACAGAGAAAAAGGCACTACTAAAAATCAACAAACTGCTTTTCATTGAAGTGTTAAAATCAAATAAATATGAATGTCACATCTAATATAAATGCCAAATATGATAAAACAATAGGATCTCATACCAATTTGATCTTAGCATAAGTAACCTTGATGAGTTCAGCTTCTATCAAATATTCTCTGTATTTCAACACCTAAAAACCAAAATAAAGTTTTGGGGTTTCTTGCCCCTTAATACAAAACCAGTAACAATAGTTGGGGCCAGGGAGAACCCCAATATGGTGCACTAAGGAACAAATGCTCCATTGTCCCAGAACAATCTGGGGCTGTGATGTGCAGTAAGAGCAGGCTCTGACAGAGAGACTGTCTAACCTGGGATATGGGGATAGTTTTACTGTAATCCTCTTGTTAATATCTTTGGAGTCTATAATATCCAACAATTACCCAAAATTTCTTCCTTGTTTATTCATATAAAACTCCTAGCATTTTAAACACCACTGCTAAACTTTCAGAGTTAAGGTATGCCATAAAGTACCTGTCTGCCAATACTCCTCCTCAACCAGAACTTCCTGGTTCATTTAATGTGACATAGAACATCACAACTGTTATGTAAGAAAATGAAAATGATTGACCTTACTTTTCAAAAATTGGACAAAGCTGGGTGTGATGGCACATGTGTGTTTTCCCTGCACCTGGGAGGCAGAGGCAGGAGTATTTAAGTTCCAGGCCAGCCTGAAACAGTGAGAAACCTGACTCCAAAAACACAAGTTAAATAAGACTGATTAATTTGTACATCTGGGCAACTCCAGCTGAATTTATATAAAGATTCTCAGACCCCAAAGGAAACCATTGGCATCAACTCTGCCATGAACCAAGTAGTCTACATCATGCTGGGTCATCTGCCAATCTTTTCAGGCTTGATTTTATTTTCTTAGTGATTTGACAATTTTCTAATAACTCTATTTCAGAAATAGTACAGATCAGACCTGACCAATGTCAGAATTTGGTAGCAGAAAGCTACTCTAAAGATATATATTTACTCTTTTTATGTAATTTCTATTGGGAATAAGGTAAGACTCAAATGAAAGCCAATTCCATTTATTCCGAAATAAGTTTTAATTTATCTTTTATAGTCCAGCATGTGCATTAATATTTAACTTCTCATATGTTGTATATTGTGCCTCTTAATACTTTCTAAGGCAATAGTCATAATAGATGTTTTTAAAGTTAGAAATATATTTTTGTAAACAAGGAAAAGTGCTGAAATTTTTCAAGATATTCATCCTGAAAACCTCAAAGTATGTATAACTTCAGTACATTTAAATACCAATCCATCAACAATTTTATTAGTTACATTTTCAACTCTTTTATTCAACTACTTCTATTTGCACTGTAAAAGGTCTTCCACTTGACTCAATCCTGTCATGCCACTTTGAATCTCTCGGGGCCCGCAGGCAGAAGGTGCTTCCTAAAGCACACCTGATGCTGCTAGTAGACCTGCCCCAGCACCGGAAGTCTGCTACTGGCAATGCAGAATGCATTTAAAGGCACAAAGTCAGCAGTCTGGCCATTTTCCAGCCAAAAGAAACATTGCAGTACCAAAGAATCAGTTGTGCATTAAAAAAAATACATTTAGTCATTTTAAAAAATTCAAACTTCATCTGTTAATCCATACCATCAAGCAGAAAAAAAAAAAAAAAAAACAAAAACGGAGTGTAATATTTTACTTCCTTTGACAACATTGTTTCCTTTCAAATTTTTCTTTTTTTTAATTTACTATTGGCCTTCCATGTCCCATACCCCTACCTACTTCAAGCTTTTTTGCTCTAGCAGGTTGTGTGTGTGTGTATGTGTGTTTGTGTGTGTATACATACATATATATAAACTTTAAATAGGTATAGTAACTCTCATTATGTTTTTGGTACCTTCACAACTGGTCTGAAATAAGTTCACATCATAGTCAATATAATAACTCTGTAAACTATTAGTCTATTTTAAGTCTTTATAGTTTTATTTGTCTTATAAAGCTTTTGCATTCTGATGTGGCTATTTACTACTGAGTTTAGAAAAGAAAGAGGAGACTGCTAAAAAGCTAGCAATTTGCTTTCAGTTCCAGTGTGCAGGCATCTTTCTGAAGAGTGTTTGTCTCTCTTCTGTGCTGCACATTACCCTGATGGACCAAAATGAGCCAAAGGGAAATCACAACCACACTAGAGACAAAGAAACCACAAAACAAACAAACAAAAGACCCCAGCAATCCAGGTACCATGATCTTGCTCAAGTAGAAAGATGTCCTCACTTCATAAAAGAGAAAGAAGTTACAACACACATAAAAATTTGGGTTTCCAGCATAAAATCAGGCAACTGATTTGCTACAGTGGAGGAACCTGATGCTTACTCTTTGCAAGGGACTTCATTTGATTTAGAGTGTACAGGAGAATCATTCACTAATTTTTTGAGCTCTGACTCTCAGACTACTGGAATTTCAAAAGTTATTACAGGCTATGCTGGGTAGGATCTTGATACTTTAAAGCCAGATCTAAATAGCTTCAAAATCAAAGTACTTACAAAATATCTAACTAAGCATACCTTGTAATAACAACAAGAAAATCTGAATATCTTACTTAGTCCCTTCTGATGAAAAGCATCACATTTAGGGTCTCCTGGAAGACTGTTATCTTCCAGGCTTTTGAAAATAAAGTACTTAGCACTTGGTTTAATATGCTGAAAAATTTGCAAGCAGCCAAATTACTGACACCTTCATATGTTTCAAGTCTTGTAATTCTAGAAACAGCAGGGTCCTCCGCAGCTCAGTCTTTCCACTTAGTGACACGGCACCAAGTAAATGTTTACACTGGAAATACCTGGCAGTGTTTTAACTTTTCCACTGCTAGTAAACACTTTGTTCTGGTGTACTTTTCTTGGCCTAGAAGGATGAACTACTTTTAAGAAAAGAATATACAGACAGTTGCTGAGGCATTTGTTTGCTTTCATGTCTGAACCCAGGTGTCAGAATGTCCTTTCCTAAGGCGTCCCTGAAAAGATTCAATGACCCTTCAGGTTGTACTCCATCTCTAGGTGCTTACAATGTTAAAACTTCAGAAGTGTCTATAGGACCAGTGTCTTCTCAGAAATCACAAATATTTAAAAGCCAGAGAGAATCTCAACAAAATCTTAACACTGAAAAAGATACTACCTTGCTTGCTTCAGCTAAAAAAGCAAAGAATTTAGTGTCAAAGCAGGAGCCTCAAAAGAATAATAAAGATTTGAAGAGATTACAAAAAGAGATTCGCGCTATTTTGCAAGAGCGAGATGCTCAGGACAAACGGGTCCAGGATATGGAATCTGAGTTGGAGAAGATAAAGCAAAGCTAAATGAATCAGTCAGAGACAAAACATCTCTCTCTGCAAGTAATGCTTCCCTGGAAAAAAGGTTTATTGTACTAACCAGAGTGAAAGAGCTACTAAAATGTGAGTTTTCTGACGATGGTCACTATAAGAAGATGAGAACTCTAAGCCTAAGAAATAAAAGAGAAACAAGGATGAGAAGTCTGATGGTTAAACACAACAACATCGAGCTGAAGCCACAGGCCACTGGGAGGGACCTTACAGAGTCTCAGGGAGAAGCAGAACAACTGGCGCAAAAAATTTGTTTCCCCAGAGAAAAGATTGATGAAAAATCTGAAACAGAAAATACATCGAAGAAATTAGCTGTGCAGCTGAGCAAGTGGAAAAATACGAACTTAATATTGCCCAGTTAGATTTGAAAGAGAAGGATCTTGAGATTTTAAGTCTTAAGCAGTCTCTTGAGGAAAACATTACATTTTCTAAGCAAATAGAAGGCCTGACTATTAAATGTCAGCTGCTTGAGACAGAAGGAGATGATCTTGTCAACAAGAACAGAGAAAGGGCTCAAAGTCTCAGTGCTTAGATACAGATTGTAACAGAGAAGCTGGTTCTGGAAAAACAAGCATAAGAAAAGCTGCAACAAAAAGAATTGCAAATCCAGTCACTTCCGCAGCAAGAGAAGGAACTGTCCACCAGTCTTCAGCGGCAGCTCTACTCTTTTCAAGCAGAAATGATTTGGAGAAGAATGTCTTTGGAGACAAATTAAGGCTTGCTGAGGACAAGATGGGTGTGGTACACAGAAAGAAGAGCAGAACCAGAGGCTGGTTAAACAGCTGAAGAGAAACGAAGTCAACAGCAGAGCAGCTGAACTGGCTAGAGGAACTGCTGAGACTTTAAAGAAATAAATAGAAGATCATAAGCTGGAGAACTTGATTCTACAGGAAAAAGTAGCCATGTCTGAAGAGAGTGTAGATGTTCAACAACAGATGATGATAACTGAGAATCAAGAATATGCAAGGATGCTTCTAAATTTGTAGAGCAGATCAACACCGAAACAGAAATTAAAGAAATCACATCTTCATTTCTTGAGAAAATAACTGACTTGCAAAATCAACTCAGCAAGATGAAGAGGAACTCAGCAACTCGAAGAGGAAGAAGCAAGAAAAGCAGAGAAAGAAAATGCACTGGCAGAATTAAACATGGAAAATGATAAAATGGCATCTCCTTTATGAAGAGCTAAATAACAAAACTAAACTTTTTCAGCAACAACTAGATGTGTTTGAAGCAAAGAAGCAGGCATTGCTGAATGAACATGGTGCAACTCAAGAACAGCTAAATAAAATGAGAGACTTGTATGCAGAGCTACTGGGTTGTCAGAATCTAAAGCCAAAAAATTAAGCATTTTGTGAAACTGAAGATGAAAACAGCCAACTCAAATTGGAGGCATCAAAATTCCAATATCAGCTTATTAAAAGGAAACAAAATGAGCTCAAACTTCAGGGAGAATTGAATAAAGCTCTGGGCATCAAACACTTTGACCTTCTAGGGCTTTTCATCATGATTCTAAAGAGAATTTTTCTCCCTCAAGACCCCATTAAAAGAAGGCAACACAAACTGCTGCTGGGTTCAGACGCAACATCAAAGATCATGGAAGTATACGTCTAAAATACCTGAAGATTATTTTATTATTCCTGATATTATGTTTATAGTATATATTATACAATGTATTTAATTTCTACTGCCTATTCTTAGGTTTATGAAAGGACATTCAGTATTTGTTATAAAATGTCTTAATTCTAGAGTTCTTACTATTCTGCTGAAGAGTGGAAAGGCTCACAACCATCTATAATGCAATTTGGTGCCCTCTTTTGGCGTGCAGGTGTATATGCAGATGGAACATTTTCTATATAATAAATAAATAAATCTTAAAAAAAGATTTTTAAAGAATTTGTCATCTGCATACCCTCTGAATGTGTAATATAAAATAAGCTCATAAAGAAATTTTAAAAAATACAGTGATGCTATATTTAAAAGGCTGAATACTCAAATTATCTCTACAGTGAGAGTTAGTGATGCAAGTGCAGCCAGCAGCTGTCAAAGGACTGAACGTTATCGGCTGTGCTGAGATTGTTCACCCCTGACTAACTGTCATCTGCTCTTATGAAACCCTCATCTGCTCTGCATCTTTCCTCTGAAATCTGTTTTTCCTGCTTTGTAAACGGCTGCTTTCATTTTTTAACGGGGCTTTTATCCTAGGCACTTCTGCCATCTGTGGCAGGATGACTCCTGGGCAGGGAGTCCTTGTGCACTGCAGTCTACTTAGCGGCACCCCCAGCCCCTGCCCACTACATGCTAGTAGTACCTTGCCAGTTATGGCAACAGAGTGTCTCCAGGCAATGTCAAATGCCAAGAGAAGTGAAATGACTCCCCACCACTGACCTTATTGTCTTACAGGTGTTTACTCTTCAGAGGAGCCTCTGGCTTAGTACTCTATGACCCCAAGAACAAGGGTTTTATTTCATGACAGGAGCTTTGAAACATGGGTACTTGAGTTAAAGACTGTTACCTATGGGAAACCAAGGACTAGAAATAGGAAGATATTATAGAAACAGAATTTTTATTATTTCTCAGTTCCCTTCACTTTGGGACTTTCCTCAAGTAAATAATGTTTAAAATATACTAACACTTGGTCCTTTTTTTTCCTTATTTCTACTGACCGGCAACTGTGGTCTCTTCCACTGCTCCTATATTTAATGAGCAGTCGTCTGTGTTTTAAATGAATTTATTCATTGGCTTTCAAATACAACAATGTTTTTTAGCAGAAAGCTATCTCTCAAGATCTATAGATTCCAGTATGGACCTACTATAGTGTATTTGCCTATTATACTGATTAGGATTAACAAACATACCTCTTAGAGATTGGTATTTTCTATTCAAGATTCCTACTGAGCAAAAAAGCTTGATAGATAGAGGTTAGGATCTAAAGAATACAGATATAAGAAGAAACCTATATTCTTTAAGTTGAGTACCTACCCTAAACTCACGTTTAGAGCTCAAGCCCACAAATAAGGGTCTATTTAAATACTATCACTAAGAACTACAAATTGTACATCACTTTCTTCTCTTTGTCTTTCACGTCAGTGATACAGGTCAAGACTACAACAATCTTTATATATTCCAAATGATTTGTTTGTACTAAAAAGAGACTATGTACTAAAGTGCTTTATATCTCTGGACCACATCAGTACATTATAAAAATCTTAAAAAAAAGAAGTTTCAAGTTCTTGTAAAGTAAAGATTAAATATAAAAAATTTAGTTTACTATTATTATTAAACAAATTTAACCAAGAATCAAGAGAAATGTTTTCCCTCTTGTCTTTTTCTCCCCATCTCTCTTTTTTATAAAAAAGGAAAGTGCAGTGAGAGAGAAGGTGAACTCGAAGACGGAGCTGGTGGAGGCACAGAAGCTGCCGGCTGCTAGTGATAATGCACAAACATGTGCCGCAAGAGCTCCTCGGCTGAAGGTCGCAGTTTGGCCTCTACAAAAATCCGTTTGAGGAAGTCTCGCGTATAGTCTGAGACATGAGGTGGCAGCTTTGGGTTTGTTGGCTGAGTGGCAATCTTGAAGATGGCAGCCATTGCTTCAAATTCAGCCCAGGGTGGCTTTTCAGTTAGCATTTCTACCACAGTACATGCTACACTCCTAAAAAGAAGTGAAAAGGAACATTACCCAAGCAATAACCTCAGGGAAGAAAGCCGGTTAGCCAGAAAATGAGAGACGGGTTAAAGCCCACATGTACTTCAATATTACTTATTTCAAATACAACAAAGTTTCACTCAAAGCTCAATTAAATAAAACTGTAATTCAAACATGAAAATCTGAAAGGCTAGAGCAACACATACATTTCAATGAAACTACATCATGAATTAGAGCAAAAACTTTATTATTTTTGTTTTAGATAATTTTCAAACATGATATTAATAATTTTGTCCCTATCCTACAAAGAATACAAGCTTTATAAATTATTTGCCTTCAAGTTCCTAAAATTATATATATATATATATATATATATATATATATATATATATATTTCTGGTTGTAAAATAAGAAATGGCCATTTTCTGAACTAAAAATTACTATGTAATTTACTGAATTAATTTCAAGGCACTAATAACTAAACACACAGCCCCAGCCCTGACACAGCCCTGCCAGAGGTAGAGGCACAAGCATGATTTTCCTTCCTTCTTACCTGGAAGACTTGTAGATACCTTAAATCATTCAGAATCCAATAATGTATTTTCAAAAAAAAAAAAAAAACAGAGCTAAGTATATTATAAAAATACCCACATCACACTACTACCACAGCAACAGATTTTATTCATGTAAAGCAACCATCAATTTACTGTAAATAATTATACAATCTGACTTTCAAGATCCTTGGAAAATCTGATGGTGCAATCAAAACCTAATTCACCCATTAATGGAAATCTCCTTATTCTTCAAACACATAAACAGAGATTACATGATGATCCTTCAGAACCATACTACTGCACTGTAAGGTTTTAAATCGTTAGTAAATATCCCTGCACAAAGGAAAGTTGCTGAAGTCTGATCTGCCCCAGCACAAGGTGGTGGTGAGGAGTTGAGGTCTGTGTTAGGAGGGACAAGTTAATGTCCTCAGGTGACCTCATAACCCACCTTTACCCCAATCATTATTTGAAGGTTCAAAAAAAAAAAAAAAAATCACTGATTCATTTTTTGTTTTTTTTGTTTTTGTTTTTTAAAGACACTGATAACCAAGAATGTAAGTTATCCAAGGAAATAAGAGCTTTCTAATGTTAAGGCTTGCTTAAGACAAAATCCTTCCTAAAAGAAAAATAGGTTCGAAGACTCAAATAGTCAGGTTAGCCTTGACAAGGTATAATTGAAATGGCATTAATACTTACAATTTATATATTCTGCTTCCAAGGTACAAGAAATAATTTAAATCTGGCAATTTCATATGTGGGGAAATAAGAAGGTAAGTTTCCAGGGACATCCACGCTTACCAGATATCTGCTTTTCTGCCATAGCCTTCTCCACTAATGACCTCAGGACTCATCCAGTATGGTGTGCCTGTGACCGACTTCATTCCTGTTCCTGACAGACAGATGGTCTGAAGCCGTTTGCTAGCCCCGAAGTCTCCTAATTTGATATTGCCTGTGGAATCCCTTAAGATATTTGCTCCTAAAAATAAGAAATAGTCTCATTTTATGGTTTAATTGGCATTCTCAAATGTATATAAGTGGCAGAGAATTCCTTTGTATATTCTACTCTGTCCTCAAATTAGGCTGCAGTGCCTCGCTAGCCTGTGGTCAGTTAGAAAATCCTTGCATTGCTGTTTGTACATCACTTATCCGGATATGTATTAGAACCTAGTGAGCTTCTCCCAAAAAGGATAGAACAGGGGTAGGGGTAGGGAAAAGAAAGGAAAAAGGGCTATGAATAAAGCTTGCTGAAGCACCAAGAAAGGCTCTGGCTTCACTTATTTGCTATAAATCAAGAAGTCTATGGCTGAAGACTATTTTCCTGATCAGCCAGCTTTTCCTCAGGAACCTCTAGAAGGACCTTCACAGTCAGAACTAGCATCATATGCCTATGCCAATATTCTTTAAGTATTAGTTACATGTATTTTAAGGTGTTTCTTTCTAATGGGTGCTGTCATTTTTAATTCAAGTCTTTACCATGTGGCTCAGACTGGCCTCACACTCTGCCTCGGCCTCCCCAGCATTGGGGTTACAAGTGTGTATACCACCACGCTACACTTTTTTCTTGTAATGATTTCTATAGAGGAGGCTCAACAGTGCAGATCATCTACATTCCAGATCATAGAAAATGTGAACTCTCCATCTTCAACATAAGCTTCTGTTTCTCCACAACATTCCCCAGCCTTACCAGCAGAGTCCTCACAGGAGTCTGGGGTCCTTCTCATCAAAACCTATGAAACCCAACTGGCTGACCTACCAGTTAATCTTCTAATGTAGCTCTGCTTACTTATGGTCTCCTACCATCTAGTATATAAAAAGGGCTCAGAAAAACACCTACTGCCTAGAATATTTAACAACAAAGAAGCAAAACAGACTTTTGTTTGCTTAAGATGTGGTCTTACCATGTTGTTCAGGCAACTTGAACTCTCGGGCTCAAGTGAGCATGCCAGTCTTCCTGTCTACATTTTCCTAAGTAGCTGAGGCCACACATGCTTAATAAACCAGGTTTTACTAGCTACAAGAAGAGAAGGACACCTTCCCTGCACACACACACAGACACACACACACACACCACAAACAAGAAAGAGTCATTTCTGGGGAGACAGCATCCATAATGAGCCAATGCTCACCCACAGAAAGAGCTAGGGAAAAACAGGTACCAGGTTCCAAACATAGTTTCTATGTTTTCAAACAATTTCTATTTCAGTAAATTAAAAATAAGACTTTTCAAATAGACCCAGGAATAGACAGAATTGTTTATATTCCCATTACCCAGATCCAGTCTCCCAGTGTAAACTGTCCCCACTTATTGACACTTACTTCCCCTCTTTTCACATAGTAACTGAGGCAAATCCAAGGCACAAGAACAATAAAAAAACTAAGTGCATATCTTTAAAAGATAAGGGCTCTTACCACATCTAAGAGAATGAACAGTAATTTAATATTATAAAAAATATTATATTCATTTTTTTACATCAAAAAAGGACCAATCCAAGTAAGAGCCATGTACTGAGACTTACTAATCTAAGTATCTCAAATATTTTCCCCTTTGAAATCAGAAAGACAACAAAAACCTGATGCTTGCTTATACCTTTTTCACAGTTTAGATGTTGCTAACTGTATCATTATAATCTGCTGTCAGATATGACAAATTATGGCATGTGTGTGTGTGTGTGTGTGTCCCAGTTGGCCTTAGTGACAAACATCTGTAATCTCAGCAGAAGAATGGTGACTTCCATGTCACCAACCTGGACTATAATGACATAGTGCCTCAAAACAAACAAAAGATCCAAACCAAAGCAAAACAAAAACTATTAAGGATAGAGAGGTGACTCAGTGGGTAAGGGTGCCTGTTTTTGAGCATGAGGACCTGACATCCATGAGTCCCAACATCCATAAGAGCTGGTGTATCTGTGTGCGTCTGCAGTCTTAGGACCAGGGCAAGGACACGGACAGGAGGATGAACAGTACTCCTGGACAGCCAGCTTAGCTGGAAAGTGGTGAGCGCTATATTGGGTGAAAGATCCTGACCCAAGAAAACAATACAGAAACAGAACAGGACATTCTCTGTCCTCTTCTGGCTTCTGTGCATATGCATATGTGTATGTACATGTACACACACACATATGTACATGTGTGTACATGTACACACACACATATGTACATGTGTGTACATGTACACACACAAATAAAATCATTAAAAAATTAAGTGTCCTTTTATTAACTATTTGGTCTTCGGTATAGCTCCTTTTTTTTTTTTTAATATATAGAAGCATGTACCACCACCATGCCTGTCAACAGTAGAGTTCCCAAAGGAATAAAAGATGAATAGGGCCAGAGAGATTCTGTGACATATACAGTGGAAGAAGAGAACCAATTGCTTCAAGTTGTTCTCTACTTACACTAGTGCTGTGCCACTAGCATGCATGTGCTAACACACACAAGTAAATAAATGTGATGAATTTAGAAAGGCGGGGAGGGAGGGAGAAGGAAGGAGAGAAACAGGGGAGGGAGGATGTGGAGGGAGGCAGAGATAAACTTTAGAAATCAGTGAGTTTCCTAACAGTAATGGTCTTCATCTTTGTTCTGATCCCACAGGTCTGAAGTTACAGGAACTCAATTATCTTTACCTTTCCTCTCGCCGCTTATAAGTTACTCATAAAAATCAGAAGACACAGCCAGGCACAGTGGCACACACCTGCAATCTCAGCACTTGGGGAGGCAGATGCAGGCAAATCTCTGTGAGTTTGAGGCCAGCCTGGTCTACAAAGCGAGTCAAGGCCAGCCAGGGCTACACAGAGGAACTATGTCTCAAAAAAAAACCAAAATAAATAAATTTTTAAAATTAGAAGACAACAAGTATATTTGTAGAAAACAAATACTACGTTGCCATTTGGAAGCCACCATTTTCCTTCTGTTATACTTAAATTTACAAGCTTTAATACTATTTTTGTATCTTATTTTTCTCTCTTTTCAATATAGTTGTCCTGTAATATTTGTCTATCTGCTTGCTTTTATCCCTCTTTACTTGACCAAGGTGGCTGGGAAGATTAGAGGATCTATCTATACAGAGGATGGCACCCTCTTTGGAGGGCCCTGCTGCTAAAGGTTGCAGCATCTAACACTGGGTATCTCTGAGCTCAGTACAAGATGGAGGACTCCGTTCCCCTGTCAGGACTTCTCTGCCAGTCCTTAGCTGGAGGATATCCCTGAGATAGATGCCTGGCTTATCATAGAAGTAGCCTCTGACACAGCTTCCAACAGAATGACCACCCCTCCACTGTCAATATGATAATTAGGTAGTGTGTCCCTGCCTGGGTGATAGACCCTGCTGTCTAATGCAAATGAAGTACACTTTAAGCAAAGTACCTCCTGGCTGCTTCCCTTTTCTTATACAATCTCCTCACCCCTAGAATAACGTTGATCTGCCTCCTGCAGCTCATCCCCTGGAAGTCTGCTATTCTGCACTTCTCATGGCCCTCCGAACCCTGCCCCCAGCTCCTCTGCAAATTCTGCCCTCCTGGGCAGGTGGCCAAAGAAAGGGGAGACCCAAACCTCTGTTTCTTTTCTTACCTTATTATGAAAGCCAAAGGGAAGCTGGCTTGACTAGGAACAGATATTCCTAACTGAGTAACTTTTATAAGGTTCTTTAGTTATTGTTTTGACACTTAACAATCCACAGTCTAGTAACTCTGCATACTAGACTCACACTAGAAATTACTGTTCAGTCATCAGAAATAATTGGCAATTTTTTCCTGGCCTAATCTGGACACAGTCAGGATACGCCACAGCATAGGAAAGCAGAAGTCCAGGAACTTGTAAGAGTGCCAACAAAGATCACGAGTAAATATTATATATACACATTTATTTTCTTTTATTCAGTAATTTCTAAATTTTGGGTCATAACGCAGCTTTTAGAGACTCAGGTAGGCTCCACAGTACAGATCTGTGAGCACTCTCAAGTTTTACACATCTCTACCATTAACACACTTCACATGCTCATTTCTTTATCTATTATTTTATTTATTTGTCCCTGGGGAAAAAAAGTGAATTTACCCTACTTGGAGTTCATCAGAGCTTAATTGGGGATCTTTCCCCTCCTCTTTATTCTTTCATGACATCTGTTCCCATGACTTTAAATTCAATGCAGCATAAAGTATATCATCACTGCTAAATTTTAACTGCTGAGCACCAGACACTATTTTATTTGTTTTTTACTGTTGTTGTTGCTTTGGTTTGTAAGACAAGGCTTCTCTGTGTATCCCTGGCTATCCCGGAACTTGCTTTATAGACCAGGCTGGCCTTGATCTCAGAGATCCACCTGCCACTATCTCCCACATGCTGGGATTAAAGGTGTATGCCACCACTGTCCAGCACGGACATTGTTTTAAACACTGCAACATGTTAGCACAGTTGATCCTTTCTAGAGTCCTATAAATTGAATAATATTATGACTCTCACTTAAAAATAAGCAAATGACAGCCGGGAGTGGTGGCAGAAGCCTGTAATCCCAGCACTCAGGGATGCAGAAGCAGGTGGATCTTTGAGTTTGAGGCTAGCCTGATCTACAAAGTGAGTCCAGGACAGCCAAAGATACACAGAGAAACCCTGTCTTGAAAAACCAAAAAATACATAAATGAATGAATGAATGAATGAATGAATGAATGAATGAATGAATGAAATAAAGCAAAGATTGGACAGGAGGTACATCTCAGGGCTAAAGAATTTGCCTATTATATACAATTCTCTGGGTTCCATATCCAGAAATTGGGGGTCGTACCATGCGGAAGGAAATAAAAAAGGGAGAATGATAGGGAGAGGGAGGTATGGAAAGATTAATGAGAAATGAGGACACAAAAAGATTAATGTGTCCAAGGTTATATTTCATAGTAGATGAAGTCCAACTCTGTGGTCACAGAATCTCTGCTCAGTGTCCTAACAATCAAGCAATACACATGCAAACATGCTCACATTAATCTAGGGGCTTCTGAATAAATTTGATTCTATGGATCCTTACAGCGAAGCTATCTTCATGCCTGAACTGCTGAACTAGTCTGACTGGACATTGATAGAGTCGACGAGAGAGCTGGAGAGCTGTTTTCCTATGACAGTTTATAGGTAAATATAGCACCTTACATGTCCAATGCTATGATATTTCTTTCATCAATCTCACACAAAACTGTGAATTAAAAGTAAAAAGTAAATCATGACTTACCTTTGATGTCTCTATGGACAATCATATTACTATGCAAATAATGGACCCCCTCCAGAATCTGACGGGTATATTTCCTAGTCACATTCTCAGTAAGAGCTCCATATGCTTTTAGTTGGTCCTTAATTGAACCCTAGGATAAAAGAAAATAACTAAACCTTCAGTTTAAAAAGCAGCTGTTACTAAATCTTTATTTTTTAAGAGACTCCTAGCTCATGGCTAGAAGTAAGTAGAGATAACAGGAATTCTCAAAACATAAATGTGTAGAGTTTCTGTTCTTTCAGATTTTTTTTTATGTTGAACCAATTTCTTTGAGATTAACAATTCATAAGGCTTCCATATTTGTAAGAGCTTTAATATAACCCTAATTTGTTTTCCAAAAATAATGTTGAAGCTAACTCGCACTGGAAACAGACTATCTGAACACATGAAAGTCTAGCAGATAACAGGGAGTAGCAATGGTGTCACTACACGCGTAACGGCAAGAGCGTACTGCTCCCTGCACGGCCAGGTACTGGCCCGTAGGCTCAATGGCAGCTCTGTACCTTCAACATGTAACTCTAGACATCTATTCCCACACAGACCCATAAATTAGCAAACTGCTTTTTCCTATTACACTTCTTTTTCTCTATTAAATGAGCATACTTTTTCCTTTTTAGATATTCTCTTAAAGACATTTGCCAAGTCTAGGCTGGCCTTGAACTTGAATGCTTCCTACCTCTACCTCCTGAGTGCTGGGATCATAGATGTGTGTCACCATGCCTGGATAAAGGCACCTAGCTCATGAGTAAAGAGGCTAAGTGCCATCTTGACAAATTATTACAATTAAAATTTACTTTATCTATTTTTAAAAAAAGCAATAGAGTGAGGTCGCAATTTGCAGTTCTGACTGAAATCAGTCACCAGCCACAAATATCAATCAACATTTTATATACACACAAAGACAAAGACACACACACACACATTAGGTAAATGTTTAAAACAAATTGAATATTCCAACATACCAGTATTACATCTCAGACTGCTTCTTTATCTACAAGAAGAGCTAAAACTTTACAGTACAGAGTTGTTCCATGATCATCTACTCTTAGGAGTGATCAGCACTGCGACAGTGGGATAACCAGAAACCCTGGGTCTGAGAGCAAGCGACATCAGGTATAAAATTTCATCTATGATGCAGCAGATCAAAGGAACTGAAATGGAATCCTGTCAACTTTTTTTTAAAAAGATTCATGAACTTACCCCTGGCATATACTCCATAAAGATGGAGAGTGTTTTCTCCTGAGGATCCCTCAAACAGCCATAATACTGAACAATTCGCTCGTGCAGCAAGTTTTTCAACAACTGAATTTCACACTCAAGTGCATTTACTTCCTAAAAGACAGAACTCCTGCTAAGTCTTTTTTAGAAAATATTTTACTACATTTGTCCATCTGTCTGTGAGTGTATGTTCGCTTGTACATGTATCACAAAAACATGTGGAAGTCACAGGATAACTTAGAGCTAGTTCTCTCCTTCCAACATGTGGGGCCCTGGGAGGCGGGTTCTGGGTACTGAGTTCACGTCAACAGCTGTGGTGGCAAACACCTTCACCTGCTCAACAATATCCCTGGGCCTGAATCATCTTTATAGCATCAGAGTAAAGGCAAATACTCTTACTTCATGAACTAGCATGGTGATTAAATTGTGAAGTGTTCACTGTACATACAATATTTTAATCTCTAACCAGTAACGTTTTAAATTTTAATTTTTCAATATGTGTGAATTTGCCTGGGTTTGTCTGAACCACATGTGTGCAGTGCCCTCAGAGGCCAGATGATGGTGTTCAACTACCCCTGGACATAGAGTTACAGACAGTGAGCCTCCATGTGGGTACAAAAACTGAGCCTGGGCCCTCTGGAAGAATAGCCAGTGCTCTGAACTGTGTGCCATCTCTCCAGATCCCCCAAATCTTTTATTTAACAGCGTTGATTGTATGCTACGGTGAGACCAAGTCAAACTAGAAAACAAACGAAGCACTAAAACAACTGGTTATTTACCACAACCTCCCAATTCCGCCACATGTTGTTATGTTACATGTTAAACTCTTTAGATACATTTAATCTGTCTGTGTGTGGTGGGGGCTAAGTTGTGCACACATATGCAACAGCACAGCTGAACAACTGTGAACAACTTGTAGAGAACAACTTATAGAACGTGGCTCTCTTCTTCTATCACGTGTGTTCTGGGGAAAGAATGAAGTCTCTAGGCTTGAGGCAATCTCTCTAGTCCTGTGTTTGTTTTTGTTCCTTCCCACCACCACCACCACCAAGTACTCTGTATGGTGACTTTTACCTTGCTGGTCTCTGGACTGTCAGGGTTAAACTGAACTTGTTTAACAGCCAGCTCTCTTCCAGTATCAACATCGTAACAGAGGTAGACCCTACCAAAGGCTCCTTGGCCAAGCAGTTTGCCCAATCTCCAGTTGGTTGGAGCTCGAGGTGCTGAAAAACAACATTTTCTTAAAATGAAATATTAGGTGTTACACAGTAATATCTCTAGCTGAACATCCTAGATACAAAGGGAAAACTATGACCATCCAAATTTACAGTGGTCTCCGTCTTTCAAAACTGTTCTCTCTTCTCACTCTTGTCTCTCATTTACCCTCTCTTCCTTCTTTCTCTATTTCTTCTCTCCTCTCTCTACCTGTATCTCTCTCTCTCCCTTTCCCTCTCTCTCCTTTTCCCCTCTCTCTCCCCCTCCCCCCCATGCATGGCATCCTAGAGATGCTACCAATAAACCTTCATACATACATATATATATATATATATATATTTATTTATTTATTTATAACTCAAAGTTTGTATCTCATGATTCATATGGCAGCCATCTTTTACTCACTCTAAGAAAAATCAACTATAAGATACCCTATTTTCCAATGTTTCCTACAGCAAATTACAAATATTTGTAAATAGTTTTTTTTTCAGTCCCATCTATAATACAGAAATCTGGAAAAAGTACCATCTCCCACCTCTATAGAAGAATTCAGGCAATCAATAAAATTACAACTTTATTTTATGCATATGAGTATTTTCACTACATGTGTGTATGTGCACCACATACATGCAGTGCCTAAGAAAGCCAAAAAAAAAAAAAAAAAAAAAAAAAAGGCAGGGCATCTCATGGAACTGAGTTAAAGATGGTTGTGAACCACCTCCTGAGTGCTGAGAATCAAACCACTGAACCATCTCTAAAGACCCTATAACTTTTTTAAATCGATTCTTATTATTATTATTATTATTATTATTATTATTATTAGTCCTCTTCCTCCTCCTCCTCCTCCTCCTCCTCCTCTTCTTCTTCTTCTTCTTCTTCCTTCTTCCTTTCTTTTTCTTGTTTTCTTCTTCTTCTTTTTCTTTTTTTTATTTCCCCAGACAGGGTCTCACTCTGTAGCCCTGGCTGCCCTATACCTTGTTATTAGCTCAGGCTGGCCTTGAATGTCTGGTACACCTCCTTCCAAGTATTGGAATTACATGTGTATACTGCCCTGCTTAGAAAAAATTATAACCTTTACTGAACATTTTAGAACACAAATTACAAGGCACACAACTAACCTAAAATCTAAAGAAAAGGAGGTACTTAAAGTAAAGATGAAAAAGAAATTGTGAAGCGCATAAAAAGACCCATTCCAACAAATAAAGCAAGCTAAGCTCCATGGTGAACACGTGTGGGCTGCCATGACAGCACTGAACCTCAGGAGAAGCAAGATACACATGGGTCCTACTTGTCCAACAGTTTTGCTGTGTACCCCCCTCCTGAACTCACAGGAGCCAGAGATCTCAGAGAACCTCCCTTGGTGGTCAAGGTTAGGGAATGGAATGGCCATGTGATAGTTAGACACCCTGACAAGTAGAGCCATTGCTGGGCATGGGCTTAGTCCTACCACTAATGAGGCAAAGGCAGCTGGACCTCCCATGGGAGTCCAGGCCAGCAGGGCTTCAGAGTGAGGGCTGTACTCCCCCCCCCCCCAAAAAAAAAAAACAGTCTTAAACTTCTTGAAGAATAACAGAACCTGTTACCACTATGTTAGAGCAGTAGAAAGGAAAATGAAACAAAACAAAAATCTTCGGGGACTGAGGGCTGGAATCCTGTGGCCTTAGCCATCAGGAGTTTTCTATTCCAGAAAAGTGGGCAGGATCTGTGATAAAGCCCATCTCTGAGAACTGAACAAGTTGGGCCTGCTCAAAAGTGAAGCCAGACAGACAGACTGTCACCCTTATCCTAGGCTTTTAAAAGCAGGAGCAATCTACTACTGAGGGAGCAGAATCAGGAGAGAGCGAGAGCTTCCCTCTCTGAGAAGCAGGCACACAAAAAGGACCAAATGCTGGGACTAGAAAACCATCTCAGCAAAGTTCTGGAGGAACTGAAATTCCATGGTGCACAGGAGCAAACAAAATAACAAATCAAGTAAACTAGGACTGTACTGACTCAATCCCTCATAAAATGAATGAGGTAGAAGAGTTGTTCATATACCCAGGCATAAATTTTTATTTATCTCAGTCTTCATGATCCTACAAGTGAAGTCTGTCACTCCATGTAAAACTGTAAGATGCATAAAAAAGCAAACTTAAACACACACACACACAAACCAGGCATAGTGGCATATACCATTAATCCCAGCACTCAGGTGGCAGAGGCAAGTGGATGTCTATGAGTTCAAGGCCAGCCTGGTCTACAGAGTGAGTTCCAGAACAGCCAAGGCCACATAGAGAAATCCTGTCTGGGGAAAGGGGATTACCAAAACAAAGCAGTCAACATAACCAGACGCAAGATAACTCAAGAAAGTTAAAATACTTTTGAATAGGCTGAAGATATAGCTTAGCAGGGACAGTGGGCAAAGCACTGTTTTGGAGGTAGGAGGTATTTTTCTTTGGATTTTCTTAAGACAGGGTTTCTCTGTGTAGCCTGGCTGTCCTGGAACTCACTCTGTAGACCAGGCTGACCTCAAAGTCAAAGATCTGCCTGACTCTGTCTCCCAAGTGCTAGGAATAAAGGAGTGTGACAACCCTGCCTGGCTTTCACTGGGTTTAATCTCCACAAACACACACAAAATTTAAAGTAAAAACACAAGAACATATGGTGGCTGAAAAGATGGATCAGCAAGTAAGAGTGTTCGCTGCTCTTGCAAAGGACACACACTGGATGGCTCACAATCACCTGGAACTCCAGCTCTAAGGAATGTGATGTTCTCTTCTGGTCTCCACTGGTACTGTACTAATGTGTATGTGGTCAAGGCTCCCTCTCTCTCTCCTCTTTCCTTCTCTTTGTCTGCCTCTCTCTCTCTCACATACACACACACACCTAAAAATAAAATCTTTTCAAAACCTGATTAACATATTAGGGGTCTGGATAGAGAAGGAAGACAACATGCAAGAACGGATGTAGAATCAGACGAAATTGCTAGAAATGAAAAGGTCCCTTCAATAAGAGCATAAACCCTTAAATCCCAGCACTGGGAACTAGAAGCAGGATGACCAAGAGTTCAAGGTAATCTGCTAATACACACAGAATTTGATGTCAGTCTGAAAAACATGTCAAGACTCTGCCTCACAGAACAAAAGAGGAAATTCTCAAAGTAGAGCAAGAGTGAGAGAACAAAGACCTGAGCATAGGTATAGAGCAGCGTCAAAGAACATAGGACGGAAGAGGGGATCTGAAAAGCAGCCAAAAAGAAAAAAGAAAGAGCACACTATTTGCTGAGGAAGACAAAGATTAAAAGTGAACTTCTCTTTGAAAAAAAATATATAAGCCAAAAGACAATAGGATAATTTGAAAGCATTGATTTTTATTTTCTATTTTTCTTTAGAAAATCTATATGCAAAAAAAAAAATTATCTTTCAAAAAATACAGGGAAAAAAGGCCTTTTCAAGCAGATAGATGATAAATGAATGTATTACCAATAGACTTTGATTACAAAAAAGGTTAAATTCAAGTCTTCAAGCAAGAAGAATTTTATATCTGACTGAATCTTGACTCTATATAAAGATCTACAGAAACAGATAAACTGAATGTATGTACAAAATTCATGTCAAAGATTTTCCTTCCTTCTTTTTTTGTTTATGGATGTTTGGCCTGCATGTGTGCCTAGGGCCCTTAGAGACCAGAAGGCAGCACTGGATCCTCTGGGACTGAAGTGACAGACAGTTGTGAGTGGCCATATGGGTGCTCAGAACTGAACCCAGGTCCTCTGGAAAAATAGCCAGTGTTCTTCACTGCTGAGCCAATTCTCCAGCCCCTTTCCACCTTGTTGGGGGTTGTTCTGATGCTTTATTTTTATGCTAATTGCTGGCCTTCAAGATCTGGATCCTGCCCAGATACACCTATTCTTGTTTTGTAAACCTGCCTAAGACGTTATACCTGATTGCTTGATTGCCTCTTCCTGAGCAGGGCAGAATGGAATAGGCAGGGCTAAGGTTTCTGGGGTTTAAAGGACAAGAATCACCGGGAGAGGCTAGAAGAGAGGAGTAAGGAGGACACCATGAGTTAGTGTGGAGAAGAAACCACATGGGCTGGGAGTAAGGACTCCAATAATGGCGTGAAAAGGCCCAGATGAAGAACACAAGCAAGTATCACAGGATTATGGATAGAAGGTAGCCCAGATAGGAATGATTAAGGCAGATGGCATTAGATGGACGCTGGGAGATGGATGATGAGGTTATTAAGACAATGTAGGTAGAAATATCTGCCTAGCCCAAGGTAAGTAAGGCAATTATAAAATGTAACAGGTGTCTGTGTCTTATTATTTGTGATAATAAATAATACTACTGCAATAATTATAGGGCTAATAATAAACATTATACAGTCCAACACTCATTTTTATTTACTTCAACACCACCTAATTTTCAATCTCTTTAAATACAGCTGTCAAGAATAAAGTAAAAGCAATGTAGAGCATTTTTATAGATGTAAAAGTACAGAATGACAACACTAGCAAAAAAGGGATTTAGATCATAAAAATTTTGCTGCAGTATCTCCTATCTTCAAGTGGAGCATGTAAAGATACTGTTGATAAGGTTCAAATACTTTTCAATCTAATCTCATTTACCACTATAGTCCTATTCCCACAATGTCAATAAGACAGGCCTACATCAGAAAAAAAAGAGAATGTTTCCAGAGAGGATTAACTGAAAAGGGAAGACCCAACCTGAAAGGGGGTCATTCTTCCATGGGCTGAGAATCCCAAACCAGGATAAAAGAGCAAAAAGAACTCGGAACCCTCATTCTTCCTGCTTCCTTCCTGCAGACTAAACATGACCAGCTTTTCGTGCTCCACCATCATGCCTTCCCTTCTATGACTTCATCCCCTCAACTCCTGAGTGAAAAGAAGTTGTTCTTAAGTTGCTTTGGTCAACAAGAAAACAAGATGATGTATATGCTTAACAAGAGTTACAGGTATAACACTAACTCCCCCAATCCACACAAGCATGCACTCATACACACACAGGGTGATAGGCTCAAAGATAAAAGCAGAGCCAGAAAGACAGCTATTCAGGGCTGATGGAACATTTAGCAAGTTCTGGGAAGTGTGAGGAGGTGGAGCCATGTTAGAGGAAGTGTCTCACTAGGGAGAAGGGTGCCTCTGAAGATTATACCTCATCCTCTTACTTTAAACCTAAGCCTAATCCACGGGCGAACTGAATTCCACATCTCCACCTTGTTTCTCATCTACCATGAGATATATACCCTCTACCAAGGCTTCCACCACCATGTTGCTCTGCCTCCCATGGAGCCAGGTCAATAGAGTCAAGGACTATAGACTAAAACCTTGAGCCAAAATAGATCCCTTAGGCAATTTTGGTAAGATACTGAGTCAGTAATGAAAGTCTAACACTCACAACTAGTAAATTTCTACACATATTTACGATCTAGATTAAATGCTATACTGTAATTTCTTCTTCATAAACCAATCTCATTAGGTTATTTCTTAGAAGTCTCACAAAAAGTCTCAGTGCTTAACAGAAATGTACAATAGAATAGATGAGAACAATTACTAACAATTTTCCTAATACAAGTGAAGAAAAATTAGCTAAAGTAATTAGCAGTCACACCCCCTTTAGACCTGTTAGTCTAGCCACCTTCAAACATCACATTACTAAGTCTTTCCCCTGAGTTCTGATCTGCCGTTTATTCATAGTAACACAACACTATGCAAAGTCTCTGCTACACATTTCTGTTACTTACACCGGCTGGGTGGGCTGATGTCTGTGACAGTCAAAGTAGGGTTGTCTATGTCACTTCCCCTTCTTCTTATTCGACTGTCATCATACTCTGGGGTAAAGATACTGCTTCCACTACTGGTGCTTAAGGAGTGATCAGTGGGACTGAAACTCACAGGAGACCGGAAGTTGGTGCCCTGGTTCCTTCTAGCTCTTGGAAAAGTCTTACGACCTACAAAGTAAAAAACAGAAATTAACTCATTTCTTTTATTAATGTAACTACACCTTTAAGATACTTAAACATCTATAGTGTAGGGAATAGGAAGCACCTTATAAATATAGGCTGAAAAGCTTAGGTAAGAATGATTATGTGCAAGCGCTGGAAGTGAATACAAATTCAAGTATTCGTACTCTGTTACGGGAAAGTGCACATAAACTCATATGCACAGGAAAAACAGAAGAAAACCTTCACTTTCACAGAAAATGTTTTCCCATTTCCAATAATGGCTTTAAAATAAACATAAAACCAAATCAGAAAGTTATAGGTAGCAGAGTCTGTCCTGGTTGTTCTTTTCATTTGTTCTGTCAACTTGACACAATCTGGAGCCATCTGGGAAGAGGATATTGCAACCGAGGAACTACCTCCATCAGACTGGCCTGTAAGCAAGTCTCTGGGACACTTTCTTGATTAATGATAAATGTGTGGGAGGGCCCAGCTCACTATGGGTGGTGCCACCCCTGGGCAGATGATCTCGGGTTGTATAAGAAAGTGGCTGAGCAAGCCATGAGAGCAAGCCAGGAAGCAACATTTTCATGGCTTATGCTTCATGCCCTGCCCAGACTTCTCCTCGTGGTGAACTGTAACCTGCTAGGTAAAATAACCCTTTCATGCCCCAGTTGTTTTTGGTCCTGGTGTTTATCACAGTAGCAGAGAGCAAAATAAGATCCTGCACACCCACATTCATTCACAACAGCAAAGAGATGGAGACAGTCCGAGATACCCACCAAAACAAGAATAATGAAAATGTGATACACATATTATGCCAGTTTGGATAAAAATGGTCCTGATAGGCTTATATATTTGAAAGCTTGGACCCCAGCCAATGTTCTGTTCGGGAAGTATTGGCCTTGTTGGAGGAACTGTGTCACTGGGGGTGGGTTCGGGGTTTCATATGTTTAAGCCAGGCCCAGTGTCTCTCCTTCCTGCTGCCCACTGCTGTGGATGTGGAACTCTCAGCCACCTCTCGAGCACCATGCCCACTATGCTTCCACCAAGACCATAATGAGCTGAACCTCTGAAACTCCAAGTCACCCCAATTCAGTATCTCCTTTAGAAGAGTTGTCATGGTTATGGTATCTCTCTACAGCAACAGAACATTGACTAAGACACATCTGATATATGCACATGGATGTGGAGATCAAGATCAACACTGGGTATCTTCTTTAACCCTCTCCATCTTAATTATCCATTTACTCACTTATTTATTCATTCATTCATTCATTCATTCATTCATTCATTCATTTATTTATTTATTATGGCATGGCCTTATAATTTTATTATCCATTTATTTATTTGTTTGTTTCTTTGTTTATGGCATACCCTTGTAATCTGTGTATTTATATGGTTTATTTAAGACAGGGTATAACTGTGTAGTTCTGTAATTCTCACTGGCCTGGAACCCACTATGTTGACCAGGGTGGCCTCCCATGTGCTAGGACTGAAGGCACTGGCAACATGTCCAGCCGCCACCTTTATTTTTTGGAATACAATTTTTGCGTCTCTCACTGAACCTGAAGTTCACTGATTGAGCTATGATGGCCAAGCTTCAGAAATCTACTTGTTCCTCCTCCAACCTCAGGTTAGGGGTACACTGCTGTGCCCAGCTTTCACGTGGGTTCTGAGAATCTGACCTCAGGTTTTGTGCTTGAACAGCACACACTTTACTGAGTTACCAGTCAGTTACCATAAAAAAGGCTTGTTGTCTTATTTTTGTTTTGTTTTGTTTGAAACCAGGTCTATGTAGCTGGCTGTCCTAGTTCTCACTATGTAAACCAGGCTGGCCCTGAACTCATAGAGATCTGCCTGACTCTGCCTCCTGAGCACAAGACTAAAGGAATGTCCTGTCATTCCTGGCAAAGGTTTTTGGTTTTTTTTTAAAACAGAAAATTAAGTAACTTAAGAACAAATTATTTGATTATCATAAATATGAAGCTTTTTAAATTTATCTTCATTTTTGTAGTATTTTCTAATGTTTTCTTATAGTCTGATTATTCAAAACTTACCATCATTATACTCTTGATGATGATACGAAACATGATACCTTCTTGGATATGTTCCTCCTTTTCCAAATTTCTCAAAAATAGGGTTATCATAGTCTGTTAAGACATAAGAATACTATAATTAAAAAGTCAAATCTTATTAATAATGAAAAGCATATTATCGTTTTTAATTATTTAAAAAAATTTCCCCCTCCTAGCCAAAACATGACATAAACATTCAACCATGTAGAATTTATAGTCTTACCTGAAAACTCCTGATGATTATCTGGGTAGCTCTGTGCTCTAGGCATCCGTGATTTTGGATAGCTTTCTCTATAAATAGAAAATGTAAGATTGAATCAAAAGAGGGTATATAATAATACATGAAAAAAATCTTTAAGCAATATCTACATTTGTATGTATGTTCATCTCTCTGTGTGTGTATGTGTGTGTATGCAGAGCTCACTTAAATATTAACATAAATTAAAAAAAAAAAAACTTCTTTTAAAACATTCATTTGGTACACACAGACAAAAAGCCTTGCTTTTAAAATTGGCTACCGTATACAGGGGTAAGAATGATGTATTTGGAAGCAAGAAGGTTTTTTCTGAAACTGTTTCTGAATCTATATTAAAGACATAATCTTAACATATCAAACATGAATGACAAATGCTCGGCACAGTACACTAAAAACTTTCTTTCAGCCTGGCATATGCCTGTAATCCCAGCACTTGGGGAGGCAGAGGCAGGCAGACTGCTGTGAGTTAAAAGGCCAGCCTGGTCTGCAAAATGAGTCCAAGACAGACACTGCTATACCAGAGAAATCCTGTCTCAGGAAAAAAAAAAAAAAAAAAAAAATTCTTCCTCTTTTTTTTTTTTTAATTGGGGAGGGGCCCAGAGTAGATTTCCGGAGGCAAGCACTGACAGACAGGTATGGATAAAAGTAAAGTATATGTGAATTTCCAAAAGTATATATTTTCATAAAGAAGCCCAGACAAGACAAATAAATGAAGTGTTTAATACCAAATCTGTGCTACAGGAAGACTGCAGAGAGCAATTCCTTCTAAGAACAGGAGAAGGCATCCTTACAAATGCACAGTTTGCACATACAGAATAAACAAATATAATTTTTTAAGTGCCAAAACCAATAATGAGAGATTTTATAACAGTTTCAAGAACATAAGTAAATTCTAAGTTTGCACTTGCTTCAAACATATTTCTGACAGGCAAAAATAGTAGGAAAAAACATAATGAAACCATTGATAATGATATTGAACCAGATATGGTGGCACAGGCCTTTAATCCCAGCACTTGGAAGGCAGAGGCAGTTGGATCTCCATGAGTTCAAGGCCAACCTGGTCTATAAAGCAAGTTTAGGACAACCAGGGCTACACAGAGAAACACAAAAACAAGATATTGAACCTGAACCCCGTGAGGTTAAAGATTTATTTACAATACACAAAACTTCACTGTTGTCATTATAGACAATTCTCAATGAACTATATTCTTCAGAATGCAGAAAAGAACTATTGCTAACCCCGTATTCTATGTGTACACATTTTTACTCTATGTACTGAAAAGTGTGACTACAATCATTACCCATCCAAAGGACTATCAAGTGATGGACAGCTTCCTGAGCCAGAGTTTTCAGGGCTGCTTAAAGACAATGGATCCAGCATCTAGGAAAACAAAGGGTCCACAGTGACTCTTTGACAGTAACCTTAAAACAGCTGTTTGAGACATAATATAACAGAGATCTCATCCATTTAAAGTATGTAATTCAGTGGCTCCTACCATACCAAGAAATGTATACAACTTTCCCCACAATTTTAGAATTCTTTTAGTATCTTCAAAAGAAGCTGTAAAAAATAGCAGTCACTTTCCAGAATTACTCATTTTTAAACATCCTGTATAAACAAGCTGTGACTATAAAATTTTATAAAAGAAAAATATACTTTTTCTATAGTCAAGTAATTGAAGCTACAGTAATTTTGCTTACTGAAACGGAGCAATGGCCCTGTTCAATTGAGATGAACAATACAGTGACTGCTCCATGAGGAGATTGAAAATGTTGTAGCACTGTGGCCACTCAATAATGTAAGGGCCTAACAGTAATTTCACAAAAACATCTGCATACTACAAAGCTGAAGCATTTTTAAAATGGTATAGACAGTTCACACACCTCACTTCATAAGGCATTTATAATTTTACTCTATCTTTAAAGTATTCATTAAGCTGAGCAGTGGTGGCATACACCTTCAGTAACAACACTCTATAACATTCAAGGCCAACCTGGTCTACCTACAGAGAGAAACCTTGTCTTGAAAAACCAACAAAATACAAATGAATATATAAAATAAAGTATTCATTAAGAAATCTGAATGTTAGTTAATCTAAGATTACAAGCCAAATGCATCATTGATGATCAATATAAAAAAACTAGCTTATTCCATTTTTTTGACATACCAATACAAAAAGGCATATATAAATTAATGAGCATTTTATAATAAATTTTTGACTTAAGAAGATAGACTAGAGAAAATGTACACACACACATAGACACATGGACAAAACCCCCATCCTAGTTGTCTGCCAAATCACACTGGTCACAAGACCAGGGTATCTTTATATATAGTGATAAAGAGAATCCAGGTTTGACTTACTTGGTCCATGCTTTCTGGAATGAACTCTCCTTCACTGTTGATGCTAGTGAATGACCCATTCCGGGCAATCTGGTGGAGTTCATCTGGAATGTATCCAGGGGGAGGGGAACTTCTATCTCTATTAGTGGGACCTCAAAAAGAAAAGTTATCAAGTTTTATCACTGTCACCGAGGAAACTAATTTTTGTTTCAACTAAATAGGTTATATTTCCAACTACATAAAAATAACTTTAGCAAATAAAATCGAGTGATTACAAAAAGTTAATCAGAATATTCAGGTTAAGATCTTTTTATAGCCTTTCTAAATTCACACTCTACAACCTCATTAGACTATGCTAATATACTCAAATTCTTCTGACTGTTGACAACTATATCATGGGCTGATAACAAACACACTACAGAATCTTACAGTAATACAACTGCTTTTGAATTTCCAAAAATAATTTGTATCTGTCAGTCTTTAACATAATCTGTATTGATATCACAATACAGTAAAAGAATATGGGCTCTGCAATCAGGGCATGGTTTAAATTCCAGTGCAGGTTACCATCTTAGTGTCTTCGGCAAGTGGCCTGTTTTCACAGCAATGAACATTACTTCTTGGTAAAAATACTGTGATGGTAAATCCATTCACTAAAAACATATGTCAGTACAGTCAGCTCCATGATATTCTTTCCATTCCCTATCTTTGATCTTTAGAAACCTGAATTAAGATTCCTTCTTAGTCATTTGGCTGCTATTTTGTATTTCATATCCTGAATCTTACTTTTCATTACTTAAAACTAGGCTTTTATGGGATGCTATATCCTGTACATTTAAATTTCTTTGTAATTTTCCAGGTGTAGTGCACATACCACTATCCCAGCACTCAGGAAGCAAGGGCAGGAAGATCTCTAAGTTCAAAGCCAGCCTGGTCTAGACAGTGAGTTCCAGAGTAACCAGGCCTATATAGTAAGACCTTGTCCCCAATTGCACACCCCAAAAAAACCTTCACAGTTTAAGAAAAAATAGAGTAGAGCATGGCATTCCTTCAGGATAGTTTTTAATTTAATTACCTGGTTCACAAGAAATGATACTATTGACGTTTTCTGCTCTCCTGGCAGTTGTTGTTTTTTTTTTAAGTAAACATATACAAGTATGCATTTAAGTTCTTTTTGTTCGTTTGTTTTTCAAGAGAGGGTTTCTCTGTGTAGTGCTGAGATTAAAGGTCTGTGCCACCATGGCATGAAGCATTTAAGTTCTATTTAAGTTTAAATCCCCCCAAAAGTAAGCATATGTAAAGGGGTCATCTGGTAAGTAGGGAAAAGGAGCAAGAGAACATCTATTAAGAAGGTGCAGAGACCTCATCTGCTGTCCAGAAAGAAGTATGAGCTGAGTGCAGTTCATGTAGGCTTTGTAATAGCTATCGCCAATTATCGCTGTATTCCTGACACTTTCATCTTTCTGAATGCTTTTTTTTTTTTTTAAGTAAAAGAGCAACATACTCAACTGAGAAGGAAGATGGCTATAAAAATTTCTTCATCCTATTACTTGACAACTCATATTTCTTAACATGCAATGTAATGGGTATGTTAACACACTTATAGTAACTGCAATTTTCAGTTTTTTCTTAACCTGGCACCAAAGTCAAACAACAAGAATACTTACTGGTGGGCTAATACTGAGGAATTCAAAATGCCAATTTAACTAGTGCATGTAAACTTTTCCTGTCTATCAACTGAAATGAACAGGCTATTTTACTTCTACAAAGAAAGAAATGTACAGCTAATAGCAGCTGTGTCTCCAGTTTGAGAAATGAAACATATTCTACAAGTGCTCTGTTTATGGCTTCAAACCCACTGTTTAAAGGCCAGAGTAAAGTTAACAGTTTCATATTGAGAGTGAGAGTACCAGAATTTAAATGCCTATAGCTCAAATATTCTTTCACTTTTTAAAAAAGTAGTATCAAGTATATCTGAGTGAGGACAAGCCAGGTCTATTTGTGCATCCTCGCTGCAGGTTTTAGCTTTATTTTTCTGAAATAGACTCATGTGAGACAAAACAAAGAAAAAGTTCATAATACCACTTCTTTTAGAAAACAAAAGAATATAACAACTGCTCTAGTTACTTATAAACTAATTCAACCTTTTCATTCATCGTTAGTAACCCTATTCTATTCCAGTCATTTCTAGATTTTCAACCAAATGTCTCACTTTGTCCTGCTCTCTAGTTTTTTCTTCTCTATTTACCTGTCTCTCCTCTTCTGTGTTCCCTTTCAAATTCATGCCTCAGTACCAGAGCTCATGCTATCTGGAATGACTACACCCTCTGCCCTATGTGTTAAAAATATTTATATCCGCTGTTCTTTAAGCATTGAAACACTTTCATCTTTTTAAAATGTTAATGCCACTTTAAGAATTTATTTTATTATGTTTATTTATGTAAATGAGTGAGTTACACATATGCACGTGCATGCAAGTGCCAGAAGACAGTGCTGGATCCCCTAGACCAAGATCATAGCATCAACATTGTTGCTGGAAACCAGACTTTGATCCTTTGAGAACAGCAAACACTCTGGGCCATCCCTTCAGCTCCTTATCAACATTTTTACGGCAACAAGCATGGAGGGTTCACAACACCTCTGCCTAGCCCAGGCTCAATAAGGCCACCTCAAAATACAGTACACAGAATCTTTTTTTCTTTTTATCATAAGCTTACGTATAAGGAATGCATTATTGATAATAAATAAAACTGGATACCAAGAAAGCAATAATAAAACACAGGCTACTCTTAGCCATTTTTATACTGATATTATATTCTGGCAACACCTAAAACCTTACAAAACTTAGGAACAAGAGTCCAGTGTACTGATTTTAATGCCCTACAGTGACTTTCCCTCTCTATTCACATCATAAAGAGTCCAGTCTACTCATTTCAATGTCTTAACAGTTACTTCATCTCTATTAAAATCATTAAAGATTTTATCTAATTCTTAATATTAAAATATTCAGTATAGAAACAAAAACTTTAAATTGGATATTGCTAGTCCTACAATACATGAAAATAATTTCTCAGGAACATCAGGTAAGACAAAGTGGCTAAAGTAATTGTACAGAGCATAGCATTAGGGTGCTATTTTCAGGGATACAGTTCATGTTACCTTACATTAAAAGATGACAAGGATTTGAGAATTCACTCATTTCCTTATTCAGACCCTGCCTTTCTCACCTACTACAGATAGCCGCTTTTTCCTCTCTGCACCAAGTGGTGTATTAGTCAAATCTTCTGGTGATAGCGATGGTTCTGAATTAGTAGCCTAGAAGAGAAAAGGGCAATTAATGTTATTCTTCCCATCTGAGGCATGCAAAGACTCATCATCCTCTTTCTAAAATACAGCCTAGCTGTTCTCTATTCTTGCTGGGCCTTTGCAAATATGTTCTTACAATTTTTAATCTACTAGAAGAGTGATACCATCCCGGCTACTTGGAAGATGAGATCACGAAGATGGCTTGGTCCCAGGAACAGAAAAGAAAGGAAGGAGGGAGGGAGGGAAGGAAGGAAGAAGTTGGCTGAAGTGGGGAGAAGATAAACAAGACAAGACATTTCAAGACCAAGAAGATGGCTCAGCAGGTTAGGGTGCTTGCTGTCAACCCTGATGACCCAAGTTCAAACCCTGAACCAACATATGAGAATTAGAGAACTGATCTTCATACATGTACCAGCATGTGCACACCCCACCCCATCTACACAAAATTAAGGTAAAAAATAAAATACAAAATAGTCGTTTCAATTCTAATATAATTCTTCCCAAATTGCCAGTTTCTATTATTATTATTTTATTTCACATGTATATTTTTTTAAGATTTATTTATTTTTACATGAGTACTCTAGCTGCATGTACACCAGCATGCCAGAAGAGGGCATCAGATCCCATTATAGATGGTTGTGAGCCACCATGTGGTTGCTGGAAATTGAACTCAGGACCTCTGGAAGAGCAGCCAGTGCTCTTTACCACTGAGCCATCTCTCCAGCCTGTATAATATATTCTTAATTGTAACTCTAACCACATAGTTTTGAGAAGCAAGGATAATAAGCTACAACAATGACAAGTATATAATTCACATTTCATAAATTAAAACATATTAGAACTCTTATAATCTTCAGTGAGAAATACAATCCCAATTCATACCTGTGTACTTCCATTTAATACAAGTAATATCTTGAGGCTCTTCATGTGAATACTGCGATCCAGCAGTTCCACAGCTTTGTCCAAGTCATCTTGGGTAGTTAACGGAATTACCAACTGAACAAAAGAGACAAGAATCATGCAGACATTACACCAGGTCAAGCTCTTTCAGGAGCAGCTCCATTACTGGAGTATTATAAATCTCGAAGCACATTGTACTTTATTACTACAATGAAAGTCTAAGGAATATACGCATCGCTATTCTCCACTCCAGTATTCTGCTTAATATTTCAGCACCACTAAAACCTCAGAATGGATATAAAGAGTTACTTTTTGCTTATTAGTCATTACATTCTTCTTGTAAATATATCTAAAAATTAATTGTCTATGACGTTCTTATAACATTGTTAAATTTAAGGTATAGTAAGGATATTCATGCCTGAGAACATTAAAGGGCACACATAGAAATACTATAAAATACAGTACTACTTTCCATGTGCACAAATAAAATTCTTAACCCCTGCTCTAGTAGTAAGCAGGGTTCACCCTCGGCCTGGTGTGTTTACAATGTGGCGGCGGCCTTGGGAAGGCACCGTCAGCTGCACATCTGCAGTCTACAGGCCACCTGTATCCACCTCTGGCCCTGCTAGACCACTATGCGCTAGAGCAAGCAAACTACATGAGTCATCGTCTCAGGAGACCCTCAGTGAGGAATCTACTTTCCTTAGTCCTCTCTCTCATGGCCAAGACGTTACAAAAGAAAAAAGCAACCAAGGTCTATGAAAAAAATGATTCACATATTTTTTGATTTTCAAAAATCAAAATCTTTTATTTTTAAATAAAAACATTTCCTGCAGCTTAAGGAAGCTGTCAATGACATAAACGGAGGAAAGAGGAACACAGAAAGAACAAGCGAGCACACGCCAGCCACACTTACTGACCATCTCTAAAAAGCAAAGCATGTGAAACATTTCCAGTCTACGTGGCTCAGAGTCCTCTGCAGCATCAACCCCTAAAGATGAGGCTCCCCTCCAGCAGAGCACAGCAAGCAGGCCTTTTGCAAGTATTGTTCAGTACAGGGTGAACACCAGAGGCATACCCAGACCTCCTATGGTATGTAATCAGTCTACAGACTGCTGAATGAAAACAATCTCTTTTTTTTTTTTTTTTTTAAAAGACTGACAGAAGTTCAAGGCCATCCCAGGCTATGCAGTGAGGGCTGGGCCAGCCAAGAATCTTACGTGGCAAGATTCTGTCTCAAAAAAAAAAAATTTTTTTATTTAAAAAAATGAAAAGCTGCTATATATAAATACAAACCAGATTAATTTGAATCCTGTCTCATACTTTGCTTATATCCATCTACTCTGTATTTAAAAGTTTATTTCCAATTTCTATTGCAGCCAATTTTGTGCTAGTGCACATCATCTTAGTCTAATTTCCTATTGCTGATAAAACTCCCTGGGAGTGGGGGAAGGGAAAAAGGGAGTAGATGAAGGGGTTAGAGGGTATGGTGACTTTGTTTCCCTGAGAAATTATGTTAGGAAATAATGATTCAAGGTCAAGTTATTTATATGGGAAAAGATTCTAGGTAGGGGAATGGGGAAAATGAAGAAAGAAGGGAAGGTGGCCATTAAAAGTACTTATCCAGAAAGCTGCCCCTTTAGGACAGTTAATCATCTACCCTCTATATACATCTCCCCATGTCCGTACCTCAGGAAAAGCCTGAGAACCCCAGAATGTCAGCTGAACACCAGGCCAGCATATACATGTTCATATGATAAAGTACCAAGAAAAAAGACTGAGTAAGAAATATGCTTATGCATAGTTAAAACCCCAGGTTACTCGAAAAGAAAAATTTCAAGATATTGCTACAGTACGGTCCTCATTAGTCTCTGTTCAAGATCCTATTTAAGAGAGATCTGTATTTAGGAAAACATGTCCCTCTGCCTTCCTGGGACTCAAATCCAGGTCCTGCTGTGGCTGTGTTTATAAGCTGGTGTGGGCAGAAGGGACTGACACGGATTGCTGGTGTTGGTGCAACCCCTGGAGACCCCAGAGTTGATGAACTGTCGTTTTATTCAACAGAGGAAGCATTTTATGTAGTGTGTAAGCAATAGACTGTACTGCTTATAGCGATAAATGAAAAGTGCCCTCCATGTTTAAAAGAGTCTTTTCATTTCTGAGCCTTTTGAAGTGTTTCATTTGTACAGGGTTCCATGTATGTTCTCAGATAAAGTTTTACTATGGCTTCCCTTGTCACACCATCCCCACTGGTACCCTTCGCATTCATACTGTTCTCAAGCTTGTTCTATCTCTCATTCTTCCCTTGAAACTCTGTAGGGCTGCCTTTCCATACTAAACTCTCATAATAATATTGCCTCAGCTAGTTTCTCCTTAATAACAGACAGGACACTCACAGACTTTTTTGAGACAGGGTCTCTCTATGTAGCCCTGGATGTTCTGAAACTCACTATGCCTGCCTCTGCCTCCCAACTGCTGAGCCTGAAGCATGCACCACCAAGTCCAGCTTTGACTTTAAAAAAGAGTCACTGCCACAAGACTTGATGCATTTCCTTCAAAGATCTTCAATTCCTCTGCTGTCTGCTGCTTCTACAAACCTGGAATATCCACTCCACAAAAGGCTGCAACTCAGAAACGTAGCATTAGGCCAGTAAAAAGTATTTTCAGAAGATCAAGAAAATTAACTTTTAAAAAAATTAATTTTTTTATTTTTGTTAATGGTTTTACATTTAAGATCCCCAAACAGTAAGAAACTCCAGTTATCATCTAATTGAATTCTAATCTCAAGATTAAAACAGATTTCCTGAAAATACAGTGAGCCATCAAGGCCACATGTACTGACCACAAATACAAATCAAAAAGCACCCTAAACCAACATCACCATGACCCTCAATTCCCCAAGGAAAGTAAGGTCACTGAATAAAAAGTGAAAAGTAAAAGTGAAAGCAGAAAATGGCAAGTGGTGCTGACTTTCTCCAACTGCGTAGTCTAAATTCGCACTGTAGCACCTCCATCTCACAGTAAAATTTACAAGTATACATTTCCCTCCTCTAATGTTCCACTTTTTACTAATCACCAAATAAAAACACAATCTCCTACATGAACAACACTAACTTTACAGAACAAGGGCTACTGAAAGGGAAATGCACGTGCTCACCTCATTGTTGGTGTAGTGTAGGTCCATAGACTGCCCAAAGGCTATTTTAGACTTAGACCTCAGATCTTCTAGTTTAACTGGTCTGGTAACCTGCAGGATTCTACATAAAATAAGTTTTAAATATTTTATTTTGTAACAAACAATATACTTACAAAAGTTCTACTTTGTCAGATAAAAAAAATAAGTAAAAACTATAATATACTTTTGATCAAATACAAAAATTTTCAATCAAAATTTAGAACCATTGAATTTTTTTCTATTGTAATTATAGTTTTTAAAAGATTCTCAAAGTTTTAAATTCACAAAAACATAAACATTAAAGCTCAATATAAAGTGCCCACTTAGGAAAGTGTTTGAATTTAATTAAATTCAAATTCATGTCAAAACTATATGACATATGTACAATAGACTGCAATGAAAACTAACTGTTAAGAATAATGTTACTTATCCTGTGGAGATCAAATTTTGATTTCTGAATCCTTATCAATTTAAAATTTTAGCATATATACTATATAAGCATCTCTAAGACATGTTAAAGGGATTAAAGTGAAATATGATGGTATTTGCTTCCTCTACTCCTAAGGCAGAGCAGGCCCAGAGAGCATGCACTAAATCTAGAGAAGAGCACAACAGACTATTAGCTCCAGAGAGAAGAAGCCACTTCCGCGCTCACTTTATAAGTCACACACTAAGTTCAGGGCTGAGGAAATGGAAAAGCTAAATATCCAGAAAATAATTCCAAATAAGGAATAGACTAGACCATAGTTTTATGGTATGCAAAGGAGGTATGCTCTTTTTAGTTTTCCTTTTTATTTTTCAGTATCTCTGGTAAAATACGTTCACATCTTCAAGTTATATGACTCGTGAGCCATTTTAAATTCCTTAGGACTAACAGGCCTGAGCCAGGTGTGGTGGCATACTCCGGTAATCCCAGCACAATGGGAGGCCAAGGCAGTAGGATTGCTGTGAGTTCTGAGGCCAGCCTGGTCTACAAAGTGAGTCCAAGCCAGCCAAGACTACACAGAGAAACCCTGCCTCAAAAACAACAACAACAACAAAAGACTAACAGGCCTTTTATTATTCCAATGAGACACTAATAACAAGAGAAATTATCTTCTGTAACTCCTATTAGGTCTTTTTGTCAGCTCTCACCAACTGCACTTTGTGCCCAGAGGCACAGATGCCAGGGCAGACACAAGGCATAGAAGGCCAGGTTTACAGTCCTGCTAAGCAAGCAGCCTGGAGCCATCATTCCAAGTCACTTCTAGAGCACTATTAACAAACTATACGCTACAGCACTGAAGTCTCTTGAGGCTAGTCAAAACTTTTCCTTGGTAGGAATAAAAGTAAACAGTAAAATTTTAAAGTGTGTCTTATGAAATGATCTTATTTACTTCCCAATTTTGCAAAGCAAGCACATTCACTATTTCTAATGGCTAGCATGCATTGTGACATATCCTATTTCTCATCAGTCTAGGTGTATGTCATATATTATCAAAGACTATTCCATTTTCAACTTCAAAAACCACAGAACTTCACTGAAATTTGGAGAGAATCTTTAGAAGCTTAATTGGAATGCATATTTTTAAATAAACTAATTAATTTCCTTGCTTACCTTTTTTCTCCTCTATGTTCAAATTTGACACGGACATCATTCTATAATAAAATGAAGGTATCAGTCATAATCATGCAGAGACCAGATAAATTTCTAAGTTATTTTTTTCCTTAGCCTACTCATTTAACACAGAGCAGAAGAGAGGGGTTTCATTTTCAAAGTGCAATTCCAATCACCTGATATCTGCCAAAAAGCTGAGTTGAGAATTACATTACCAGATCTGATGATAGGAAATACAGAATGCTATACTGTAGACCTTCCTCATCTACGTGTTTCAAGGCCTCTGAACATATAAGTTTGTTAATTTACTTGCTTTCCTTTATTAAATTCAGAACTTTCACTTTTTCTCTTAAATACTCACCTCCCCTTGAGGGGGAGCAGCCTTACCAGGCCACAGAGGAAGACAAAGCAGCCTGTCCTGATGAGACCTGATAGACTAGGGTCAGATAGAAGGGGAAGAGGACCTCCCCTACCAGTGGACTTGGGGAAGGGCATGGGAGGAAAAGAGGGAGGGAAGGAGGGAGGGACAGGGCTACAGCTGGGATACAAAGTGAATAAACTGTAACTAATTAAAAGAAAGAAAGAGTAGTGTATGCTATGGCAAGAAGCATGTTCAAATAATGTTATATACCTATATGAAACTGTTCTTTTGAAACCCAGTAATTATTGGTGTATAAAATAAACATAAGAAGTTTCAGGTTAAAAAAAAAAAACAACTTTTTTTCTGCATATTCAAATTGTCAGTACCTTTACATTCATATTTTTGGTAATCAATCCCATTACTTAAATAGCTTCTAGGTAACAGATAGGTAGCATATACAGTATGGGTACAACAAACAAAGGTATAATTCATGCCCTAAGCAGAGTAAAGCAAGACAGTGTGAGGTTTCATTATGCTATTTCAAATGGCATAAAATTTAAAACTTAGATCTGCTTATGTCTACGACCTTCCATCTGTTGTTTCTGACCTAAGCTGACCATGAATAACTGAAACTGTGGGAGGGGAGATCTATTATTTCTACTTTCTGTGCTTTCTATTGCATACTATTCTATTTATAGGAATCAAAATCACCCAGTTATAAGTATCGCAAGAAGATTTCTAAGAAAAACAAAAGAAACTATTCATCTTAGGTACTTAAAGAATGGATGAAATAATAACTTTAGCAAGCAGTTACATAGCTTTTTTAAAAAGTACATTCATTTATTTCTTGTCATTATTTCTTCAATACTGTACCTGCACATAGCATTTATAATTATATCACATATTAAATGTAAATACAAATAAAATGCACACTTATTGGATAATATGCTGAACACAGCATTTGATTCAAAGCATAAAAGAAGTCCTTACAAGATCAGGCTATGAAATGAAAGTAATTCACAGAGCAACAAAATACTCCTATTAAAATACTATTGATATTGGGACTGGAGCGATGGCTCAGTGGTTAAGAACACACACTGTTCTTGCAGAGGACCAAATCCATGTTCAGTTCCCAGCACCTATGTCAGGTGGCTCATAGCCACCTATAACTCCGGCTCCAAGGGGATCCAATAGGCACCTACAATTTCACACACACACAATTTAAAAATAATAAAAATTGCTGAAAATTATTACTGAAATAAATACCTGTTTTTTTGGTGATGAAGGTTTTGCTTTTCTGGTTTCCTGTAAAGATAATGCTGGCCGACTAGCCTTGTGAAGGACAGCCAAATCTTGCATGATTGAATTCAAAGCTTGCTGATCATCTGGATATTTTTAAAAGAAGACATACATACACGTACAGTTTTAAAGGGCTGTAATTTCAACATATACTTATCACAGACATCAAGCAGAATTTATAATGGAATTTAAAATAAACTAGCTGAAATCGAGAGGTGGTTCAGCTGTTAAGAGTGCTTTCTGCTCTTTCAGAAGATCCAAGTTTGGTTCGCATTAAGCAGCTTACGACGACCTGTGACTCCAAATCTGGGAATTCTGTGTCCTCAGGCCGGGTTTGAACTCAAAGAAATCCACCTGCCTCTTTTTATGAAGTAAAATGTTAATTGTGTTATAAGAAAAAAAATTAAGAACAACTAACATCAAGACTTAAAACTCATAACAAAAGACATAAACTAGGCGCCCACACATAGGACATTTATTTTTGTTTTAAATATTTTTTATTTTACTTATTATTTTCTATTATTTTTAGTTGTGTGTATGTGTGTGTCTGTGTGTGGATAAGTGTATACGAGTGCAGGTGCCCATGGAGGCCAGAGGTGTCAGGTCCCCTAGAGCCGGAGTTACAGGTAGTTGTGAGCCATCTAATGTACGTGCTGGCAACAGAACACAGGTCCTCTGAGAGACCAGTGTGTGCTCTTCACTGCTGAACTCCCCTTCCAACCCCACCTAAGGGAAGCAAAGTCATTCTATTTTGTTCAGTGATTTAACACAGAGTCAAAACAGCTCTACTAGAATAAATTCTTTTCTGTGACTCCTAAACAAACATCAACCACACATCAAAAACCTTAATAAAAATTGAGGGGGGGGGGGACCTTGTGTAAACATGATCTTCCTTTACCAATTATATCCAAAACACAGACTTCATTTTCGAGATGTATTCCTGTTACTGATGTTTAGAGAAAGAAACAGAAGCACTCCACGCATGGACACTACTGCCAACTTCCCAAGACTACAAAGAGATGGCTCGGTGGTTGAAAACACTGGCTGCTCTTCCTGATGACCCAGGTTCAATTCCCAGCATCCATATAGCAGTTCACAACTGTCTGACTCCAGTTCCAGGGGATCTAACACCCTCAGATAGAAGCATATACATGTAGGCAAGGCAAAACATCAATGCACATAAAATAAATAAAAGTATTTATCAAAAAAAGCCAATAGCAATTTAAAATAAGCAATGTGGAACTGGAGAAATGGCTCAGAAGTTAAGATCATTGGCTCTTCTTGCAGAGGACCAGGATTCAGTTCCCAGCAGCCACATCCTGGCTCTTAACTGTCTGTAACACCAGTTCCAGACAACTCCATAGCCTCTATCATCCACGGCATGCACCAGACACAGATATAGTGTGTAGACAAACACACAGGCAAAACACCCATACACATACACAAAATTTTAATTAAAAGTAAAAATGTAAGAAAAATTCACTCCTTAGAAAAACTGTGTCCAGCAGACTGCAATACCAGCACTTGGGAAGGCAGAGTCCAGGACAGCCAAGGCTACACAAGAAACCCTGCCTCAAAACAAAAAACAAACAAACAAACAAAAAAAACTTAAAAGGAAAACAGTGTCCAGAAAACTAAAAGAAGGACTATAAACCAAAGTTTGAGTGTCTTCCATATAGATTTCCTTTAAAATCATAAACATGAACTGCTCTAAAATGTCAGAAACAACATATTTTTGCTAATAAATCAATCCACTAATGATTATTAACAACTGATAATTGATTATTAACAACTGATAAATAAAAAAATCAAAGGTCTTTACAATTAACATTTTTAAATATAGCCATTTTGTTGGGCAATAATTTATATTCCTAGAATAATAAAAACAAAAAAAGTTCTGTCAAGGAAATCATTAAAAATTATTTAGTAATTGAATAGTCATATGACAATATAAATAGCAAATATAGATAATTTGTTGATGTTTAATATTCAATATAATCTATAAGTTAAAGTATTTGTGTACTAATAATTAAAGTAGAGATTATAATGCTTTTATTGATGAATTCCAGTTTAGGAACGTGTGCAGCACAGTGCTTATGTGGAGGTCAGAAGGTCAACTTGTGGTCAACTTGCAGGAGCTGGTTTTCTCCTTTCCCCATAAGAATCCAGAGACTCAAATTCAAGTTGTCAGGCTTGGGTGAAAGTATATTTACCTGAAAAGCCATATCACAGGATCCAAGAGGAAAAAAAAAAAATTAAGATTTTTTTTAAACGTATGTGTATATGTGTGTACCTGCCCAAGTTTGTGTGTGCCACATGTGTGCGGTGACCATGGGAGCCAGAAGGTTTTGGATCACCTCAAACTGAAGATGCTGTGCCTGATGTGGTGCTGGGAACTGAACCTGGGTCCTCTAAAAGAGCAGTGAGTACTCTTAACTCCTGAGCCACCTTTGCAGCCCCTAGAGAGAAAATATTTATAGCCCTCTTTAAAGCACTCTTTAAAAAAGTCTGTCAAAGTGTTAGCTTAGTCTGACAGTAACTCAGTTACACTGTGATCACAACACTACACCATAAAAACATCCACACCAGACTGTCCACTGCTCATAAAAATAAACTGTGTCCATCAGGAAACTGAGACTGAGGTCAAATGGAGTAAAACCACTTGATGTGACATGCTTTAAAAAATGTTAGGATCCTTAATTTCACACTGGAATGAGAACATAATACTTAAATATACCTACTTTGTTCTCATTATTTTGCTAGAAAAATCTTTAGTGATGAATTTGGGCAGTTTCTTATACTTAGTATCATAGTGCCCAAAAAACAAATACCTAAGAAAACTTTAGCTAAAATCTCTTTTCACACCTACATGTATTTCCATGTTAAGAAAAATAGATACTTTTTATCATTTATGCAAAAAAGGAAAGGGTCATTTAACAAAAAGTTCAAGTCTTAGGAAGATAACATACCAAGGTGGAAACTTACTCTGCAGATACTGACAAGACAGAAGAGCTAACAAACCCACAAAAGATCGAATATAATATACCAACAGCTAGAAAAGGGACTGTTGTAATGACTCTGTTAAGGATCCCTGTGATAGTCATGGAGATGACACAGGTTACAGGTGTCAGAGGGTCATAAACTGATCCAACAGGCAGTCAAATGCCCTGGGGATTACAGAATAAGCACAGGCACAAAAAGGGCAGTCAGTAGAGCATAGAAACAGAAAAGGCTTGGGAAATAACTTCAAATAACTTTTACTAGGAATACTGAATTTGAGCCAGGCATGGTGACTCACACTTTTAATCCCAGCACTTGTGAGGCAAAGGCAGATGGATCCCTAAGTTTGAGGCCAGCCTGGTCTGCAAAGTGAGTTCTAGGACAGCCAGGACTACATCGAGAAACCCTGTCTTAAAAAACAAAATCTGAATTTGATACATTATATACATATTCATTATACATCAACATTCTCAGGGGAAAAAATCAAGTATCTGTAATCCACATTTTTGAAGTGTCTTTGTTTTGAGACAGGGTCTCATATGTAGCCCTGCCTGGCCTACACTTTATGTAGTCCAGTATGGTCTTAAACTAAGAGCCTGCCCCGCCTCAGTCTCCTAAGGCCTGGGACTGACAACATGCTCCAGCTTGTGATGCCCACTTTTAAACAGTCATGTTTTCTGTGAGCACCTTTGTATGTATTTCTCATTTGTTGGTTGAAATCATGATTGCATAAGTTCCCCATTCCTTTTATGTATTTATTATTATTATATTTTATTTTTATTAATTATAGTTTATTCCCTTTGTACCTTTTATATATTTTAAGCCATTGCTTAAACATGACAATTATTCTTCTGTCTTGTTGCTAACTGCACTAAACACTTTTTTAAAGGGTTATAAAAATCAACTTAATATATAAATTGAAGTGTACATGAAAGAAACAAAAGTGAGATGCAAACAGGAGTCAGTAAAAGTGTATCCAACTTGGAGCTATTAGAAACATGCTTAGAGTGGAGAATCTCCATTACCAGAAGACATTACATTCAAGGGGAAGAGAAATTTTAAAAGTGTGAAACTTGGGCTTATAGATTTACTTTAACCACTTACAGTGAGAGTATGCTAAGTCTTCCAAAAGAAGACTCATGTGTCTTTTTAACGTCTACCACCTATAGTATATATGTATATATGTATGTGTGTATGTGTGTATATGTGTCTGTATGTGGGGGGTGGGGGGTATGCGTGTGTGTGTTTTCTTAAGCAACTGGTTAAAAGGTGAGACAAACTCTGGCAAGTAAATGTGAGTGTTAAGTCACAGGAATTAATCTCAGTTTAGAAACAGCATACATGAATTACAGAGTCTACTTTTCTCAATTTATGGTTGGGCATACCATTTACTCTGTGTCTTTCTGGTATCTATCTAATCGCTACCTCAGGGGAGAACCCTCAATATTAAGCAGAAGGAGCGGAAGGAGCAAAGAAGAAAAAGTGATTACAAACTGTATGTCCAAAAGAGGACAGACTGTTTTTAAATTAAACTTTCACTGCCAAGAATACTGTAAAAAAAAAAAAAATTCTCTGGACATCAATGACTTGCTGATTTACTCAATTATAAGATTAGATGATTGGATTTTTCTATTTTTCCTTTTACCACCTGACTTTCTAAACAAATCACAAAATATCTGAGCAGTTACTCTAACGTTTCTCCTGGGTCCTGCAGCAAATGGTCATTCCAAAACTGTAACAACATAAACAGTACTTCAACTCAAAACTGCTTTGTTTATTCTGCTATTCCCTAAACCTTAAAATCCATTAAGTAAAATGTTTCTAATCTCCTATATAACAAATGATATAGATCTGTCATAAATTTCTACATAAAAAGTTTTTTATAAGATAAATATTTTCTCCCTAATTCTATTCTTTAATTATAATTAAAAAAGGTGTTTTTAACTTAAAACTTACCCATTATGGCGACCAGCTCAATAATTTGAAAATTAGGAAAATGGTTCTCCCATCAACATTCTTTATTGCCTTAAAAGGTAAGAAAACAAACACATGAATTAATAAGAACCAGAAGAGGCAACCATAAAAATAAAAATAATGGTACAAATAACAGTAAGGAGGGATATATGTGTATATACACTAGAAATACTTTGTAAGTTTTTCAGAATACACAATATTAGGACCTGATCATGTAGGTACCCTTCCCTAACACACTAAACTTTCAAGACCCAAGAAGAAAAGCAGGTGAGCAGCAACAAATATACTTTTTGTATAAATAAAAAGTACTCATAAGACCTAAAGAGTCCTTATCCCAACCCTCCTTAAATCTGAGCTCCTGGGTGCCATTTTGTATCAGGCCTTTCTAACAATACGCCGTCTTCCTCCCATATTAATTCTTTTCTATGACAACAGAAATAGGAAAATAATACTGTTTTAAAGAAAAATTCATAAAGAACAATTATAAAGCCATGCCTGCCTTTAATCCCAGCACTTGGGAGGCAGAGGCGGGCGGATCTCTTTAAGTTCCAGGCCAGTGTGGTCTACACAGAGAATAAACCCGGTCTCAAAAAAAAAAGAAAAAAAGCAGTAATTATAACTGTTGCTGGGCATAAAAAATATATAATTTGTATAAATGTAAGGAGGAAGGAAAGATACATTATATACTTGTTTATGAATATTCTTGAAATTATGTCTGCATCAACCCAACTACAGTGTTTTGAGTTATAAAGATATTCACTGTAATTCCCAGATGAACCACTAAAAAGTAAACCTAAAAGAGAGCAAAGGAGACAACAACTTAAAATATCACACTACAATACACACAAACGGTCATAACAGATAAATAAGGAAAAAGAAAATGTGGCATACAGAACACAGAAAATAGCAGATATACCTTATGTAAATTAATTAAATATAAATGAAAGGAAAACCAATTAAAGGCAAATATTATCAGAACAGATTTTAAAACTATGCTCAAGAGTGTAAACAGAGTATAAAAATTTTAAAACAAAGGCAGGCCAGCCAAAACTACATAGTGCTTTTCAATAAAATACTAGCAAACCTAACCCAGAACATAAAAAAGGATTATAAAGGGGCTGGAGAGATGACTCAGAGGCTAAGAACATTGACTGTTCTTCCAAAGGTCCTGAGTTCAATTCCCAGCAACCACATGGTGGTCCATAACCATCTATAATGGTGCCCTCTTCTGGCAAGCAGGCACACATGCGGGCAGAATGCGTTATGAATAATAAATAAATAATCTTTAAAAAGTATAATTCATATATGTTTTATAAAAAGGATTACAGGTTCTATAGAGAACATCTCAGTGGTTATGAACATGCATGTCCTGCTCTTGTGAAAGACCCAGGTTCGATTCCCAACACCCATATGGTGCCTCACAACGATTTACAACTCCAGGGGATCTGACCCACCTTCTTCTGCCTCCTTGGGGACCAGGCATGCATATGATACACATACACACATACATACATACAGGAAAAACACTCATATACATAAAATAAATAAATCTATTTAAAAATTTAAAGCATTAAATACCACAAATACATGAGATATATTCAATAAAATAAGGTATGCTCAACACAAAAAAATCAATATGACAAACTGTACTAATAAAATAAAGGATAAAAAGTCACATAAAATGTAGGTCCCAAAATTCAATCCCCTTTAGCACAGTGAAAACACCAACATCAGCTGTTTCCTTGTGTGTTTTGTTTCAGTTTTTTTTTACTCATTTCTAACCAGTTCTAGTTGTAGAGATTAACAAATAATATTATGGAAAAGAAACTCTACTGTCAATAGCATAAAAAGAAAAATGCAGGAATATATTAATAAATTCAAAGTGTGTATAGTAAAACTACAAAATGCTGCTGAATAAAATTAGACCTAAAGCCGGGAGTGCTGATGTACACCCTTAATCCCTGCAAGGGAGGCAGAGGCAGGCAGATCTCTGAGTTCAAGGCCAGCCTGGTCTACCCAGTGAGTTCCAGGACACACAGGGCTCCCTAGTGAGACCCTGTCTTGAAAAATCAAAAAATAAAAACAAGAAGGAAAAAAAAAAAGGAAAACTGCTGTTTAGCTTGTAGATCTGTGCCACCTGCGTCGCCACCTCTTCCATACCTCATGACAAGCTACAACCTCCAGTGAGCAAACATACTCCTTTCTGTGGTGGTATTGCTCACACACAGAATTTCAAAAGAGCTGTGGAGAGTACTGCTAGGCACAGCATGACCTCTACACAGACAGGGGAGCTGTAGAAATTCACTGCCACTGCAAGAAGCCCTCAAGGGACTGGATAACCTGGACACTAGCATTTCACAAGAGCTCAGGCCTGGACGGAGCAAACCTCAATGCATCTCCTTTGTAATACTTCAGTGTTACTGGACAGAAGAATCACTGCTTCTTTTTAGGAGGTTTCTTTTCATTCCCCATTCTTCCAATTCCATGCTCCAAGCACTGTGAATTTCAAGTAGAATGCACTCAATACTGAAGCAGATCTTAGGAGTAGGTTTAGGGTTTTCTGCACCATTTCTGCTTTTGGTTTAAAATTCTTCTTTCATAACCCTATTGGGTGTTTCTGATTTTGGTTTTGTTAAACTAAATTAATATGGCTTGAATGAACTACCCTGCTCCTGGAAAGTCATATATAAGAATATGAGATTCCTGGAATATATATCATATATACCATACATACATGCATATATATATATATATATACACACATATACATATACACACACACAAACCATTATATATATATATAAAAGCAACTTAATATATATTAATATAAGTATAATATAACTTAGATATATAACTTATATACATATACATATATATATATATATATATATATATATATACACACACACACACATAAGTTGCTCTTATATATACTACTCTTGGAAAGAGAGAAAGCAATTGTGTTCTTGGTTGGCCTTTTGAGGATACAGTACACCATCATCGAACCAGACTGTGGATGACTGGTTTCGTGAAGAAGCCGGATGCTATAATGCTGGCCACTATGCTACAGGCCTTGGGAGAGCTCACTGCTTTTTGGCCTAGCATTCTATGAAGGTGCAAATATAACTCATAAGTACAATTCACAGTGAAAGTAGTGGAGAAGCACCGTCCTAAAAATGTGGTTCTCCTTCAAAGATTCCAATGGTCATAAAAACAAATAAGCCTTGGGTTTATTGAAATCAGGGCAAGTGCCACTGCCCTGAAGTGGAACTTCAGATAGGACCTCATTTGTTATATGTAATTAGCCAATGAATACATAAGCCTGATGAATAAGTCTATTTAATCTTTCACAGGAATGGTGAAATCCAGTTTTACAGGCTACAAGCCTGACAGAATTGCGACCTCTATGCTCATGTTATGACCCACATATCTGGACACTTAGCAAAGGATATCTGCTGCTCAACATTTAAACTGTGCTTGTTACTCTTACTGGCTGAACTTTCCTGAAGCCATACTATTCTGAGTTGTCTTTAAGTGTATTACTATGCTAGAACCTTACCAATACATATGAAATTTAAGATTAGGAAACAAAATACCCAGCACAATACCTGTACATTTTCAACATCATATAGAGTCAAAGTTCCAGAAACTGAGAAAACCCTAGAGTTTCTGCGGTTTATTCCGTCTGACATTTTAAACACTACAAGGCTTCTCTTGTTATCATTCTGTATTTATATCTCCCACATGCATACACATACAAATCAGGTTTGTTCGGCCATTGACAATATTTTGCCAACTCTTATGCTGATTATTTAATGATTGTTTCCATGTCTTATTCTGTGCTGTTATGGGAAACCTCCACTCTGAAAATATACTTTGTTACAGAAACACATATCATATAGAATATGTACTTCAATTTAGCAAATATTTTAAAAGTAGACATGAACTGTAGTTAAATAATTTATTTTTTAAAATTATAATTACAACACCTCTCTTCCATTTCTTCTCTCCAAGCCTTCATACACACACACACACACACACACACACACACGCACGCACCAGTGCACTCTTTAAAGGCCATGAATTTGAAAGGGTGTGTGTTTGTGTCCCTAAAACCATACTCAGTCTGTATGTTACTTGAATGGCTGGTACTGGATAGCTGCTGGGAGTCAGAGTGATGCAAGCCTTTCTCAGAGGCATGAATGAAAAAGACAAAGGAAACGGTTAGCTCTGAATCCTTGTCCAGGAATGAATTTGGCAAGGCCAGACTGGGGTTGGAGCCCATGCCTCAAAGGAGTCAAGGTTGTACTTTCTGGGACCTGCCTCTTCCCAGTGGGCTTTGGTTATCAGCCTTAAGGCTATTTCCCCCCTGTAAATAGTATATAAAACGCTATACTTCATATTGACTTGCTTGGTATAAGATATAGCTTGTATATGACCTTCTACCTCAGCTTTCCTATCTTTTTCTTTATCTTCTCATCTCCTGGCCATCCCAATTAGGACTCTGTCACTAAAGAACAACGGCTGGTCCAGGTCAGATAACCAATTACTGTATTTTTCCTGGGTAAGAATATTTCTTATACTGTCAGCATTATTCCTTAGTTGGCTATAGTTCTTTGGGTAAAGTTGAGGCCCTGTATAACTCAATCCCTAAACATGTGAGCATATCTATTGTTGTCCTGTTGGGCAGTTATGTTGGTGAGACTTTTGGGGTGTAGCTTTGGCATTTCTAGGAGACATTATCTCAAAATAAATTCCCGTTCTTTTGGCTCTTAAAATATTTCAGCCACCTCTTCCATTGTGCAATCAATGTTCTGAGTCTTAGCTACAGAGTTGTCTTGTAGATATACCCAGTGGCACTGAGACTCCACAACGCTACAAGCTAACTGGTTGTGGTATTCTGTAAGAATGCTCTCCATCTGTTGAAAAAAGAAGTTTCCCTGATAAGGGGTGAGAACTACACTTATTTGTAGACATAAAGACAAATGTTTAGAATTAGTTAGGGATTGTGCTGGTCTAGCAGAGTGGCAGTTTAAGTTCACTGGCCCTGG